AACCTGTGCCCACCCTAAGCCTCCCTCTCCCCTGGGACCCCCTCTAGTGATCCAATCTTCCTCGTCGTCCCCAGGCGAGGCGGTCGCGGGACCTTGGAGGGCTAGCTCGCCGGACGGCTTCAGGGATCGTCAGGCCCTACTTCGGCGAGTGGCTGAGAATTTGGGTCTGGAGGTACAGGAGATGGTGGAGCAGGAGGAAACCCTCGTCAGTGTCCTCTCAGCCTCTACGCCCTCCCGGGTCACCCTACCCATGCATGAAGGGGTTCTTCAGATCGCTATGGCCCTATGGCAAACCCCCTCTTCATTCTTCCCACTTCCAAAAGGGCCAAAAAGAAGCACTTTGTTCTGGCCCAAGGGTTTGAATAGCTTTATACCCACCCGCTACCAGGCTCGCTGGTTTTCTGTGGCCAACGAGAAGGACAAGCAGGGTCACACGTCCTCAACTCCAAGAACAAAGAGGCCAAAAGGCTCGATCTCTTTGGGAGAAAAATGTATTCAACTGCCAGCTTAAAATTTCAGGTGGTGAATCATCAGGCTGTGTTGGGACAGTCTCAGAAAGTTGCAGGAGCCTCTCCTGCGGGGTCTGGCCCAGGAGTGCGGCACCCTGGTGGAGGAGGGCACCGCGGTGGCCAGGTGCTCCCTGCAAACGGCCTGGGACATGGGGGACTTGCCGGCTCCAGTGGTCGCGGCGGTGGTCATGCGATGCAGCTCCGGGCTCCAAACAGCGGGTCTCTCCCAGCAGATGCAGACCTCCATTCAGGGCCTTCCTTTCAACGGGGTTGGTCTCTTCTCCGAGCGGACGGACGCCAGGCTGCACAGGTTGAAGGACACTAGGGCCCCCCTTCGCTTGTTGGGATGCACCCCGCAGTCTGCTCATAAGCCCTTCTGGCCCTCCCTGCTGCCAAGGCCCCGTCAGGGCTCTGCGAGAAGGGAAGACGCTAGTTTTACTCATCGACGTCCTCCTTCGTCCTGCTCGCCAGCCAAGCCTGGGCCCGCCAAACACCCCGGGGGCCAGGAGCGACCGTATTGAGGGTGTGCTCGAGAGCAATGCCCCAGATCCTCCCCATCTCTTCCTCAACCATCTCTCCCCCCTTCCATTCGGCCTGGGGAGCGGTTCTCCACTCCACGCGGGCCAGGGCCTTCCTTCCGGAAGAGCTCTTCCAGGCCATGTCAGACCTGATCCCCCACGTGAGGATCCATCTGCTCACCGTGGCCCACACCCGCTTGCAACTGCCTGCACGGACCTGGTCAGCCGTGCTCAACTTCATCTGTGGTCCCTGCAAGCGTGGTCTGTATCCCCAGCAGGCAGGCCCTGGACCGAGTGGTCACGGGGCTGAGCCACGTCCTTTCGTCCACAGACTGGTGGCTGGATCCCAAGTCGGTGCTGCAAGGAGCTCCCTTCGCGTCCACTTCACTCGCCCTGGTCGCAGACGCGTCAGATCTGGGCTGGGGAGCCCATCTGGGCGAGCTCAGCACCCAGGGCCGGTGGTTGTAACACGACCTGGCCCTTCATAGCAACATCAGGGAGCTCAGAGCGGTTCTCCTGGCCTGCCAGGTGGTGCAGGTCCTGCCAGACAGGACAGCCGCGATGCCGGGAGGCGTTCAGCCATTCACCTGGTAGCCGCCCGCCTGCCTGGCCCCGAGAGCATCCTGGCGGATCCCCTCAGCAGGGCCTTCTCGTCTCCCCACGAGCGGTTGCTACATCCAGAGGTGGTCTCCCGCAGGTGGGCGACTCCCCAGGTGGACCTGTTTGCATCCCAGCAGAATAGGAAGTGCCCTGGGTTCTGGTCTCTGCAAGGCAGGGACAAGGGCTCCATGTCAGACGCCTTCCTGGTCCCGTGGTCAGGGACGCTGATGTTCGCCTTCCCGCCGGTGCCGCTGCTCCACAGGGTCCTGCTACAGGTGAAGCAAGACAAAGCGAGTGTCACCCTCCTAGCCCCGGCCTGGCCTCGCCAGCACTGGTCTGTCAGCAGCCAGCCCCCTGCAGCGGCCTCTTCGGCCGGACTGGCTGTCCCCGAGCCCCGGGAACCTGCTGCACCCGAACCTGCCCCTGACGGCCTGGCTGCTGCGTGGCTGAGTCTGGGTGAACAGGCGTTCGCTCCGCTGTGTCTGGCAGGTCCTGCTGGGCAGCAGGAAACCCTCCCCCAGGGCTGCCCACGTAGGGAAGGGATAGGATACAGAAGGACCTAGACAAATTGGAGGATTGGGCCAAAAGAAATCTGATGAGGTTCAATAAGGATAAGTGCAGGGTCCTGCACTTAGGACGGAAGAATCCAATGCACCGCTACAGACTAGGGACCGAATGGCTCGGCAGCAGTTCTGCGGAAAAGGACCTAGGGGTGACAGTGGACGAGAAGCTGGATAGGAGTCAGCAGTGTGCCCTTGTTGCCAAGAAGGCCAATGGCATTTTGGGATGTATAAGTAGGGGCATAGCGAGCAGATCGAGGGACGTGATCGTTCCCCTCTATTCGACATTGGTGAGGCCTCATCTGGAGTACTGTGTCCAGTTTTGGGCCCCACACTTCAAGAAGGATGTGGATAAATTGGAGAGAGTCCAGCGAAGGGCAACAAAAATGATTAGGGGTCTGTGTGACGAAGTGGGCCTGTTCTTAATGTTTCCTCTGAATAGTGTGGGGGTGCCTCAGTTTCCCCTATGCAGTTCTTAAGTATCTAGGTGGTGGGGTAAGGGTGTATGATCATTGCAGAGCCCTAGAGGGCAGGTGTGTGCAGGGATCTGGACACAGAGAATGGCCGACACCCTGTTTCCTGGCAACTGATGGCCTGGGCCCTTCCCCCCCTGCAAGGTGAGAGCTGAAGGGTTGGAGAACAAAGGAATCAGGTGACCACCTGGCCCGGGAAAGGAACAAAGCCCAGAGGAGGAGGGGCTGGAGGGGTTTTCAGTTTGGGGCTGGCTGGGACATGGAGTGAAGTGCAGACGTGGTTGTCTGGCTCACTGCCCCCCAGAATGGACCCAGCTGAGGGGTCCCGTTCTCTGCACCTGCAAGCTCTGTTTTAGACCATGTTCCTGTCGTCTAATAAACCTTCTGTGTTACTGGCTGGCTGAGAGTCACGTCTGACTGCGAAGTTGGGGTGCAGGACCCTCTGGCTTCCCCAGGAGCCCCGCCTGAGCGGACTCGCTGTGGGAAGCGCACGGAGGGGCAGAGGATGCTGAATGCTCCGAGGTCAGACCCAGGAAGGTGGAAGCTGTGTGAGCTGCGTGTCCTGAAGACAGGCTGCTCACAGAAAGGCGACTGCCCCAGAGTCCTGACTGGCTTCATGGGGAGCAGTTCCAGAGCATCGCCCAGGGACTCCGTGACAACTGGTGGCAGCGGTGGGATGTACTGCACCCCGTGGATGGCGCTTCCTGCAGTAAGTGACTGGGGAGCAGTAACACGAAGGGGGATTGCCGAGGACCAGGCCTGCTGAAGGCTCAGAGAGGAGCGGTTTCGGGGGCGGTTAACCCCTGGGAGTGTGTGACCAGCAAGAAGTACTGTGCAGTAATGGGGTCCCCCTGGGGACTGCAGTGAGCAGTCTCAGGGGCGGAGGAGTCTGCAGCTCGACCCTGGCAAAGAGGTGGTAACCTCGAGAAGGGCTGGCACACTAGGGGTTCTCCCTGGAAACCGTGGGGAGCTGAGAACACACGGGCCTGTGAGTCCACAACAACTTGGGAGGAGCGGAGTGATGGCCTGTCACCGTCTCCTTAAGAAGGACATTGTAACCCTGTGCAGAAAGAGAGGGCTGAGCGTTGGAAAGTTCACCAAAGCAGAGTTAATCGTGCAGCTGGAGGAGGATGACCGCTCTAAGGAACAGATTCCTGACCCCAACTGGGGCTATAGCAGGATCTGGGAGCAGCTGGAGCGGGAGCCAGGCATCGCCAAGACTCCTGTCCCCGACCAGACGAGGGTCTTCACGATCGGGTTCCCCATCGGGGGATCGAGACGGACGGGATTGGAGCTGAGTCTGAGAGAGCAAGAGGACTGTGGGGGACAGCGAGAGCCCGAGAAAGAGCTGCAGAAGCAGCAGCAGCATGAACTGGCGGTGGTGGGGCGGAGAGGCCTAGGGGACCTCCCCGGGGTGAGTGGGGATAGATCCCGGGGGGCCAGTTCCGCAGGGAACCTCGAGACTAAATTGCTGCCCCTGGTTAAGGAGGGGGGGGGTGTGGATGCCCACCTCACTGCCTTTGAGCAGGCTGGCGATTTGAACCAAGGGGACCCTGCGGAAAAGCCCCGGTGTCTAGCTCCCTTGCTGGGTCCCAAGGCCATAGACTCCGTCAGCCAGATGGTTGGGGATGTGGACAGGCTCCCACTCCTGACCCCAACCTATATGTCTGTGTGGAGTTTCCTGGGGCCAGGCCCCTCGGACCCCCAGTGGGAGCGGAAGGGGATGGTCAATGGGGAGACATTCCTGGGGTGGCGAGATCCTGGGACAGAGAGAACTGGTGTCAGGCCCCGGGTGGTGCAGCCTCAGATGCTGAGGGGCTGTGTGAGCTGGGTGAGGGTCCCAGGGACGAAGCCCCTCGCCCTGCCTATGGCCCAGATCCCCGTGCAGACCCAGGAGGGGTGGGGCTGGCTGGTCGTTGGGGTGCTCCAGGACACCAGCTGCGAGACCCTGTTGTGGGGTGACTGTGTCTCTTTGGGACAGGATCCAGGCCCTGTTCCTGTAACTGCCAAGGGTTTGAATTTGAATCCAGGGAACCAATCGGCAGAGAGGGAATGGTCAGTGAAAATGCAGATGACCTGGCTGGCAGCAGGGAGGAGCCGCTAGGCTTAGGCTACCTGCCTGCCTGTAACCAGACCCCTGGGGCTGGGTGGGACAGAGAGATGCTCCCTGCCCCCTTGCACACCAGACTGGGGACTCTCGCTGGCTCTGATGCATTGAGGAAAGCAGTGGCCTGCCCCCACTGGGACAGCAAGGGCAGCGCTGAGCACAGTGGGAGCTGAGACCCCAGCTGAGTGGGGGGAGACACAGGCAGGGCAGGGGATCTGTGGGGGAGTGGCAAGGTGCTTGGTAAGGGAAGTTTGGATGAGCCTAGGCAGCCTTGTGAGCTGATGGCTGTGTCCAGTCAGCAGGGTGGGAAGGCGAGGAGAGTGGAAGATGAGAGTCCCTGGACCTTACCTGTTAGCTGGGTGGAGAATTGGGACAGTGAAGGAAATGGGTCTCTGTCTGTCAGGGGTATTGACTTGCCTATGGAGGGAGCTACCCTGATCTCCAAGCAGTTGTCTGTGACCAGCCTTGTGTGCTGGGACAAAGGGAATGAGATCCCAACCTGTGTGTCTGGTAAAGGAGAAAGTGTGTCCGGCTCTTCTTGGTCTGTGGAGCAGACAGAAGGGGCCTTTCAGCCTGTGATGGTTGAGGGTCGTGCAGTTGTCTCAGAGCTGGTTCTGGATTCAGCTAAAGCCCAGGAAGGGAAGGGTCTCCTGCTCGGGAGAATGGCCCTGTAACTAGGTCGCATCCAGTTAGGGTCTATGTAAAATCCCCGAGACCAGACAATTCTGGTGCTTGTATTTTGCCTGTTGCTAGTGTGTTGTTGGGAAAGGGTGTAGCAACTCTGTCTAATCAGGGTGAGATCCTAGCCAGGGCACAAGGAGAGCATGAAGGTGATGTGATTGTGTTACCTACTGAGGGTGTGGAAACCTGTAGCAAGAAGGAAAAGATTCCTGAACTTGTGTGTGGCAAAGGGAAGGAGAATGCTTCTGACCTGTTATCTAGGAAGCCTGTAAGTTTGCCTGAAAGGGGATTGTGTAGGAATCCGCCTGATGGGCCAGAGGTGATTCTGGATGTAAGGGAGACCCAGAAAGAGTCTGTAGTTGCTCAGGAAAGTGTTCCCCTAGAGCAAGCCCTAGGTAAAGAGGGTAAGAGCAGAATTTCTGGGAGGGGTGAATTGTTGCATAGAAAAGCCCTTGGGAAAGGAATCCTCATGGAGTCTTTGCAAGCAGTTTACTGCAACTGAAGGGTGTGAAAATGATTTAATCAAGAAAGTTTCAGTTCCTAACAGCCAGAAATTTTCTGTTGTGAATGGGTCCACTGACTTTCCTGTTGAAAGATCCAGTGTGGAGAGCTTTGAGAAGGTCTCAGATGGAGTGAAAGCTGTTAAGAAAGGTATACCGTCCTATAACCAAGTGGCTGTGTTTGGCCAGCTTGTTGGGGAGACAAGGTTGTGGAGAAAGGGATGTCTCCATGCTAGTTCTGTAAGTGAACAGTATGTGGCCCAGGTCAAGATGGGGGCCCTTAACCAAGAGAGCCCGAATTGCAGCCCTCCAGACTGGAGCTCTGGGAGAAAACCCAATCCCAGTTTGACCCCCTGGGGTTTTGGGGTGGCCAAAGGGCATGGGCTGCAGAAACCTTCCCACATGCAGCCTGCTAGTGCTATCGACCACCCCCGACCTAAGGGAGGGCGTGAAACTGGAAGGGCCTGGTGTAACTCCTACCAAGGAACGGGAGAGATGCTGGGGCATCCATGGGAACATTGGTGGCTTCAAACTTCCCCAGGTCACCGGGTAAAGTGACCCCGCTCAGTTCGATCTCGAAGGGGGGAGAGATGTGACGAAGTGGGCCTGTTCTTAATGTTTCCTCTGAATAGTGTGGGGGTGCCTCAGTTTCCCCTATGCAGTTCTTAAGTATCTAGGTGGTGGGGTAAGGGTGTATGATCATTGCAGAGCCCTAGAGGGCAGGTGTGTGCAGGGATCTGGACACAGAGAATGGCCGACACCCTGTTTCCTGGCAACTGATGGCCTGGGCCCTTCCCCCCCTGCAATGTGAGAGCTGAAGGGTTGGAGAACAAAGGAATCAGGTGACCACCTGGCCCGGGAAAGGAACAAAGCCCAGAGGAGGAGGGGCTGGAGGGGTTTTCAGTTTGGGGCTGGCTGGGACATGGAGTGAAGTGCAGACGTGGTTGTCTGGCTCACTGCCCCCCAGAATGGACCCAGCTGAGGGGTCCCGTTCTCTGCACCTGCAAGCTCTGTTTTAGACCATGTTCCTGTCGTCTAATAAACCTTCTGTGTTACTGGCTGGCTGAGAGTCACGTCTGACTGCGAAGTTGGGGTGCAGGACCCTCTGGCTTCCCCAGGAGCCCCGCCTGAGCGGACTCGCTGTGGGAAGCGCACGGAGGGGCAGAGGATGCTGAATGCTCCGAGGTCAGACCCAGGAAGGTGGAAGCTGTGTGAGCTGCGTGTCCTGAAGACAGGCTGCTCACAGAAAGGCGACTGCCCCAGAGTCCTGACTGGCTTCATGGGGAGCAGTTCCAGAGCATCGCCCAGGGACTCCGTGACAGTCTGGAACACATGAGTTATGAGGAGAGGCTGAGGGAGCTGGGATTGTTTAGCCTGCAGAAGAGAAGAATGAGGGGGGATTTGATAGCTGCTTTCAACTACCTGAGAGGTGGTTCCAGAGAGGATGGCTCTAGACTGTTCTCAGTGGTAGCAGATGACAGAACGAGGAGTAATGGTCTCAAGTTGCAGTGGGGGAGGTTTAGATTGGATATTAGGAAAAACTTTTTCACTAAGAGGGTGGTGAAACACTGGAATGCGTTACCTAGGGAGGTGGTAGAATCTCCTTCCTTAGAGGTTTTTAAGGTCAGGCTTGACAAAGCCCTGGCTGGGATGATTTAACTGGGAATTGGTCCTGCTTCGAGCAGGGGGTTGGACTAGATGACCTTCTGGGGTCCCTTCCAACCCTGATATTCTATGATTCTAAGCGGGTCACGTGCTGGGCCTTGGATCGACACATTCGGGCTGAAGAGGCCCCGCTGCAGGACATCCTGGGCTATTTGCTGCACCTTAAACTCCAGGGCTGGTCGCTCTCTTCGGTCAAGGTCCCCCTGGCGGCCATTTCGTCGTTCCACCCTCCGTTTCACGGCAGGTCGGTCTTCGCCCATCCCATGACGGCGCGGTTCCTGAAAGGTCTGGAGCACCTTTACCCACACGTCCGGGAGCTGGTCCCCCAGTGGGACCTGAATCTAGTGCTGTCGAGGTTCATGGGTCCCCCACTTAGAACCCTTGACTTCCTGCTCCTTCCTGCTGCTCTCCTGGAAAGTCTCCTCCTTGGTCGCTATAACCTTGGCCCGCAGGGTGTCCCACATCAGGGCGCTCATGTCAGAGCCACCTTATAAGATCTTCTACATTGACAAGGTCCAGCTGCATCCACACCCGGCCTTTCTGCCCAAGGTCGTCTCCCCGGTCCATACTGGTCAACACATATATTTACCAGTCCTCTGTCCAAAGCCTCATGCGAGGGTTGAGGAAAATAGACTACATACCCTGGCCGTCAGACGGGTGCTGGCCTTGTACATTGATAGAACGAAGCCGTTCTGTGAGTCAACGCAGCTGTTTGTCGCTTTTGCGGACAGGATGAAGGGTTGCCCGGGGTCAACCCAGAGAGTCTCGTCCTGGATCGTGGCCTCCATCCCCTACTGTTATGAGCTGGCAAAGATCCCCCCAACCGGTGATCGTGACGGCTCACTCAACTAGGGCACAGAGGCCTATCCAAGAAATCTGTCGGGCTGCTACCGGGTCATCCGTCCTCATGATCGCTTTGCACTTTGTGCTGACCCAGCAAGCTCGAGATGACGCCGGTTTCGGCAGAGCAGTGCTCCAGTCGGTAAGACTGTGAACTCGGAGCCCACCTCCCTGGAGTCTGCTGGTGAGTCCCCGAGAACGGAACGGGCATGAGCAACGCGGCTTGAACAACAGTTATGAATAGGTGGGTGACCGGGGTTTTTTTTGTGGGGGGGTCGTTTGGTACAGACTCAGCCTAGCTGGTCACGGGGTCCTTTGCCCTCGAAATCCCGGCGCTGTCCGGACAGGGGCTCAGGCTGGCGGAGCTGGTCGCTCAGGGTGAGTTTGTCACGCCCCGGAGCGCTGCACTCCATTGACCCAAGCGTTTGGTGCAGACCAGGCCGGGCTGGTCCCGGGGCCCTTCGCCCGCTGACGTCTGTGACTGGGCCCTGCAGGGCGCCCGACCCCCGTCCCTTCTCCGCTGCGGCTGCTGTTCCCTCCTTGCCCTGCCGAGGGCGCCCTCTCCTTTCTCACGGGGCTGGGGTTTGGCTGGCTATGGGCTGGCGGGTCCCCAGCTGGCTGCCGTGGGGGAACAGGGCTGGTGGCTCTTGACCTGGGGTCTCTGGGTCTCCCGTGGCTCAGGTGGGAAGAAAGTTGGGACTGGTTCTGTTCAGCAGTTTGGTGCAGTTGCTATTTTGAGCACTCACAAAAACAGCTCCTCTGCCCCACGTCCAGCACTGCCCCTGCCCCCGCCCCCACCCAGTGCCCCCATCCGACCCTGCCCACTGTCCCTGCCCCCATCCGTCCCTGCTCCCGCCTCGCTGCCCCCCATCTGGCCTCGCTGCCCCTGCTCCCCAGGCGTGATCTGCCATCACAGCCTCGGTGGGCGGACAGGCCTGGCCCAGACCCCCTGCCCCGGCATGGCCAGGCGACCCCTCGGCGCTGCCGGGCTGCCAGGGGTCATTTCAGCGCCCCCAGCCCGGGGACGCTCTGTGCCCCGCGGCCCAGTGTGAAGCGGTGCCCGGCGTTGTGACGGGGCCGGGTCCCTGGGCCACGCGCTCGGAGCTGCTCTCCCTGGCGGGGAGCCGGGGCACGAGGAGCCGCTGGGCGCAGGCTGGACCCTGCCGCGGGCAGCAGCCCCGAGGGGAGGAAAGCTGCTGCGGCTAAGAACGGTTGTGGGGTGTCTGTGAAGAGTCGTGGTTGTCGCAACCCCACCGTGGCCCGGGAGTTTCTTACGGCCCGGCCCGTGGCGCTGACATGTCAGCCGGCCAGCGGGGTGTGTGTAAGGAGGGAGGCGTCCACTAGGGGGCAGCAGGGGCTAGGGCGGGGGTGGCTGGGAGCCAGGACTCCTGGGTTCAGCTCCCACTTTGCCACTAATTTGATGTGTCATCTTGGCCAATCCCTCGCTCTGCCCAGGTCTCCGTTCCCCGGGGGGCCGATCCCACCTTTGTCCTGGCGTCAGGCTCCTGCGGGCAGAGCCCGTGGGTCTGGGCAGCCCCCGTGGGTCTGGGCAGCCCCCGTGGGTCTGGGCAGCCCCCGTGGGTCTGGGCAGCCCCCGTGGGTCTGGGCAGCCCCCGTGGGTCTGGGCAGCCCCCGGCACGGCACAGCCCTGCTCTCGGTTGTTTCTGGGAGGTGTGCTATGGGCGGCGATACAAGGGACCTGGGGTGTCTGAGGGAATTGCTCGCTGGACTTCTGCTTAGCCAGTGGGGTGAGACCGAAGTCCTCTCTGTCTGGCTGGTGGGTGCCTTAGTAGCGAAGGACCCCAGCCGTGGGCTCTGACTCCCCTGCTCTAAGCAGTTTGTCCTGAATTGACACTCCCAGTGGGGCCCCCCAAAGGCCGCCTTGTCACACCTGCGGACCCCATCCCTGGCGGTTTGGCACCGGTGGCTCTGCCCCCACCCGGGGGTGCTCCGAGCAGTGACGGCTCCAGGGCAGACCCCACTTCTCTGCCCCCCGCGTCTGAAAGGGCAGAGAAGACGCGTCACCTGCCTGCAGAAGGGTTTGACTCTCTGGGGGTCACCGCAGCCAGCGAGCAGGAGAGGCAGGGCCAGGCCCGCGCTACCCCGAGAACCAGGAGGCAAAGCGCTGGGACCTGTTTGGTACAAAGCCTCCTCCTGCTGCGAGCCTCCAGCCACGTCTGCCGAACCAGCGGGTGTGGCTGGGGCGATAGGATTTCGGCGTCTGGGACTCCCTGGCTCCACTCCAGGGTTCGCTGCCCCAAGGCCTGTGGCAGGAATTCCCGGCCGTGCTGTGGCAGGGAGCGAGGGTGGCCAGAGGGGGGAGTCTGTCCGTGGAGGGGCAGGGGCAGGGGCTGGCCAGCTCCTCGGGAGACTGGGGGAGGGCTGTATGGCTCACACGGTGCCCAGACGGAGGGATGGGGAGAGGGAAGAGCAGGGGAAGGGGCAGAGGAAGGCCCCTACAGCGTGTAGGAGCGTGTGTGTGTGTGTGTGGGGGGGTGTTTGAGTGTCCTCCCTACGCCCAGCAGCCTCCTCCTCCTCCCTGCTGCCCTCCATTCACCCTCCTGCTGGAGCTGCCGAGTGCAGCCGTGTGCCGTGGACGGGGCCGCGTTCACCTGTCGTGCTGCCCACGTCCACCCCCCCATGGACAGAGTGGGGGGGCACTCGCCAGCCCTTCCCCCACGCTGCCTGAGCCAGCCCACAAGTGAACCCAGCCTCTCGGGGTCCCTACCTCACGGGCAGGCCGAGGGGCTGCCTGGCTGGCTGAGCAGGGAGGGATGGCCTGGGAGTTGCTGGGTGAGCGCAGGAAGGGGGAAGAGGAACAGGACAGGGGTTAAGCACAGCTCAGGTGGAAAAGTGGGGGGGCCACAGACCCCCTGGTTGGTGTTCCCCCCCCCTCCCCCATTCTGGCACTGCTGGCTAATACAGTACTGATTTTTAAGACACGGCTGGGGGGAAGCGATCCAGGAAACTGCAGGCCCGCTTGTTTGATCCCAAATATATGCCAGGTCTTGGACCAAGTTTTGGAAGAGGCAGTTGTTAAGGACATGGAGGTGAATGGTAATTGGGATAAAATACAACATGGTGTTACACCAGGTAGCTTGTGCCAGACCAACCTGATCCCTTTCTTTGAGAACATAACCCATCTTCTAATCTAGGCAAAGGAAAGGCAGCAGATTGGCTCTCCCTGGATGTCAGCAAGGCATTGGATACAGTTCCACATGGGAAATTCTTAGCTAAATTGGAGAATTTGGGGATTAATATGAGAGTCGAAAGGTGGATAAGGAGCTGGTTAAAGGGGAGACTACAACAGGTCCTACTGAAAGCTGAAATGCCAGGCTAGAGAGAGGTTACATAACATAAGAACGGCCCTATTGGGTCGGAGCAAAGGTCCATCTAGCCCAGTATCCTGTCTTCCGACAAGTATCAGGGGGTAGCCGTGTCAATCTGTAGCCACAAAAACAACGAGGAGTCTGGTGGCACCTTAAAGACTAACCGATTTATTTGAGCATAAGCTTTCGTGGGTAAAACACCACTTCTTCAGATGCGTGGAGTGAAAATGACAGATGCAGGCATTATATACTGACACATGAAGGGAAGGGAGTTACCCTGCAAGTGGAGAACCAGTGTTGACAGGGCCAGTTCGGTCAGGGTGGATGTGGTCCACTCCCAATAATGGATGAGGAAGTGTCAATACCCAGAGAGGGGAAATTGCTTTTGCAGTGAGCCAGCCACGCCCAGGCCCTGTTCCAGCCCAAACTGATGGCGTTACGTTTACAAATGAATTTCTGTTTCTGAAGTTTTTTGTTCGAGCCACTTTTAAATCTGTTATCGAATGTCCAGGGAGGTTGAAGTGTTCGCCCACTGGCTTCTGTGTGTTACCGTTCCTGATGTCCGATTTGTGTCCATTTATTTTTTTGTGTAGAGACTGTCCGGTTTGGCCAGTGTACATGGCAGAGGGCACTGCTGGCCCATGATGGCATAGATCACATTGGTAGAAGTGCAGGTGAACGAGCCCCTGAGGGTGTGGCTGACATGGTTAGGTCCTATGATGGTGTCCCTTGAATAGATATGCAGACAGAGTTGGCAATGGGGTTTGTTGCAGGGATTGGTTCCTGGGTTAGTGTTTCTGTGGTGTGGTGTGTAGTTGTGTGACGATGTGACGCAGCAGGGAGGGGGGAGTGTTGACCTGGGAATGTGCCCTGGGGAAGGGAGACCTGAGAGCCTGTCACCTGAGCCGGGAGGGGGTGGGGGAGGTAACACCTCTGCCTGGGAATGTGAAGACAGGCTGCAGCAGGGAACCTGCTGGGGGGGTTTAGTTTCAGTTTGGGGCTGGGGAGAGGAACACAGGGAACCCCAGGGCTGGGGTCTAAGCTCCCTGCTCCCCCAGAAGGACGTGATTGAGGGGTCCTGGTTGTACCCACAAGCTCTGTTGTGGACTGTGGTCCTGTTGTCCAATAAACCTTCTGTTTTACTGGCTGGCTGAGAGTCTCAGTGGATCCCAGGAAGAGGGGTGCAGGGCCTGGACTCCCCCACACTCCGTGACAAGTTGCTGGTGAGTATTTGCTTCAGGTTGGGGGGCTGTCTGTAAGCGAGGACTGGCCTGTCTCCCAAGGTCTGGGAGCGTGAGGGATCGTTTTCCAGGATAGGTTGTAGATTGTTGATGATGTGCTGGAGAGGTTTTTGTACATGATGGCCCATGGTGTTCTGTTATTTTCCTTGTTGGGCCTGTCCTGTAGTAGGTGATTTCTGGGTACCCGTTGTGACGAAGTGGGACTGTTCTTAATGTTTCCTCTGAATAGTGTGGGGGTGCCTCAGTTTCCCCTAGGCAGTTCTTAAGTATCTAGTGTCATGGAGTCCCTGGGCGATGCTCTGGAACTGCTCCCCATGAAGCCAGGCAGGACTCTGGGGAAGACTCCTTTCTGGGAGCATCCTGTCTTCAGGACACACAGCGCACCCGGCTTCCACCTTCCTGGGTCTGACCTCGGAGCCTTCAACATCCTCTGCCCCTCCGTGCGCTTCCCACAGTGAGTCCGCTCAGGCGGGGCTCCTGGGGAAGCCAGAGGGTCCTGCACCCCAACTCCGCAGTCAGACGTGACTCTCAGCCAGCCAGTAAAACAGAAGGTTTATTAGACGACAGGAACATGGTCTAACACAGAGCTTGTAGGTGCAGAGAACCGGAGCCCTCAGCTGGGTCCATTTTGGGGGCCAGTGAGCCAGACAACCCTGTCTGCACCTCACTCCATGTCCCAGCCAGCCCCAAACTGAAACTCCCTCCAGGAGGGCACCGGATTCCTTTGTTCTCCAACCCTTCAGCTCTCACCTTGCAGGGGGGGAAGGGCCCAGGCCATCAGTGGCCAGGAAACAGGGTGTCGGCCATTCTCTGTGTCCAGACCCCTGCACACACCTGCCCTCTAGGACTCTGCAGTGATCATACACCCTTACCCCACCCCCTAGATACTTAAGAACTGCCTAGGGGAAACTGAGGCACCCCCACAATATTCAGAGGAAACATTAAGAACAGTCCCACAGTCACATCTAGGTGGTGGGCTAAGGGTGTGTGATCATTGCAGAGCCCTGAGGGGTCCAGTTCTCTGCACCTACAAGCTCTGTGTTAGACCATGTTCCTGTCGTCTAATAAACCTTCTGTGTTACTGGCTGGCTGAGAGTCACGTCTGACTGCGGAGTTGGGGGGCAGGACCCTCTGGCTTCCCCAGGACCCCGCCTGGGCGGACTCGCTGGGGGAAGCGCACGGAGGGGCAGAGGATGCTGAATGCTCCGAGGTCAGACCCAGGAAGGTGGAAGCTGGGTGAGCTGCGTGTCCTGAAGACAGGCTGCTCACAGAAAGGAGACTTCCCCAGAGTCCTGACTGGCTTCATGGGGAGCAGTTCCAGAGCATCGCCCAGGGACTCCGTGACACCCGTCTCGCTCTGTCAATCTGTTTCCTCACTTCCCCAGGTGGGTATTGTAGCTGTAAGAATGCTTGATAAAGATCTTGTAGGTGTTTGTCTCTGTCCGAGGGGTTGGAGCAAATGCGGGTGTATCGCAGAGCTTGGCTGTAGACGATGGATCGTGTGGTGTGGTCAGGGTGAAAGCTGGAGGCATGCAGGTAGGAATAGCGGTCAGTAGGTGTCCGGTATAGGGTGGTGTTTATGTGACCATCGCTTATTAGCACCGTAGTGTCCAGGAAGTGGATCTCTTGTGTGGTCTGGTCCAGGCTGAGGTTGATGGTGGGCTGGAAACGGTTGAAATCCAGGTGGAATTCCTCAAGGGCCTCCTTCCCCCGTGGGTCCACGTGATGAAGAGGTCGTCAATGTAGCCTCACAGTTTGCAGCAAGTCAGTGTCACAGTGTCAGCAATAGGAATAGAACCCAGGAGTCCTGGCTCCCGTCCCCCTGGTCTCACACATTAGACTGCACTCCCCTCCCAGAGCTCGGACAGAACCCAGGAGTCCTGGCTCCCATCCCCCCTGCTCTAACCCACTGGACCCCACTCCCCTCTGTCACGGAGTCCCTGGGCGATGCTCTGGAACTGCTCCCCATGAAGTCAGTCAGGACTCTGGGGTAGTCGCCTTTCTGTGAGCAGCCTGTCTTCAGGACACACAGCTCACACAGCTTCCACCTTCCTGGGTCTGACCTCGGAGCATTCAGCATCCTCTGCCTCTCCGTGCGCTTCCCACAGCGAGTCCGCTCAGGCGGTGCTCCTGGGGAAGCCAGAGGGTCCTGCACCCCAACTTCGCAGTCAGACGTGACTCTCAGCCAGCCAGTAAAACAGAAGGTTTATTAGACGACAGGAACATGGTCTAAAACAGAGCTTGCAGGTGCAGAGAACGGGACCCCTCAGCTGGGTCCATTTTGGGGGGCAGTGAGCCAGACAACCACGTCTGCACTTCACTCCATGTCCCAGCCAGCCCCAAACTGAAAACCCCTCCAGCCCCTCCTCCTCTGGGCTTTGTTCCTTTCCCGGGCCAGGTGGTCACCTGATTCCTTTGTTCTCCAACCCTTCAGCTCTCACCTTGCAGGGGGGAAGGGCCCAGGCCATCAGTTGCCAGGAAACAGGGTGTCGGCCATTCTCTGTGTCCAGACCCCTGCACACACCTGCCCTCTAGGGCTCTGCAATGATCATACACCCTTACCCCACCCCCTAGATACTTAAGAACTGCCTAGGGGAAACTGAGGCACCCCCACACTATTCAGAGGAAACATTAAGAACAGTCCCACTTCGTCACATCTCTCTCCCCTTCGAGATCGAACTGAGCGGGGTCACTTTAGCCGGTGACCTGGGGAAGTTCGAAGCCACCAACGTTCCCATGGATGCCCCAGCATCTCTCCCATTCCTTGGTAGGAGTTACACCAGGCCCTTCCAGTTTCACGCCCTCCCTTAGGTCAGGGGTGGTCGATAGCACTCGCAGGCCGCATGTGGGAAGGTTTATGCAGCCCATGCCCTTTGGCCACCCCAAGAATGTCTCCCCATTGACCATCACCTTCTGCTCCCACTGGAGGTCCGGGGGGCCTGGCCCCAGGAAACTCCACACCGACATATAGGTTGGGGTCAGGAGTGGGAGCCTGTCCACATCCCCACCCATCTGACTGACGGAGTCTATGGCGTTGGGACCCAGCAAGGGAGCTAGACACCGGGGCTTTCCGCAGGGTCCCCTTGGTTCAAATCGCCAGCCTGCTCAAAGGCAGTGAGGTGGGCATCCACACCCCCCCCTCCTTAACCAGGGGCAGCAATTTAGTCTCGAGGTTCCCTGCGGAACTGGCCCCCCGGGATCTATCCCCACTCACCCCGGGGAGGTCCCGTAGGCCTCTCCGCCCCACCACCGCCAGTTCATGCTGCTGCTGCTTCTGCAGCTCTTTCTCGGGCTTTTGCTGTCTCCCACGGTCCTCTTGCTCTCTCAGACTCAGCTCCAATCCCGTCCGTCTCAATCCCCTGATGGGGAACCCGATCGTGAAGACCCCCGTCTGGTCGGGGACAAGAGTCTTGGCGATGCCTGGCTCCCGCTCCAGCTGCTCCCAGATCCTGCTATAGCCCCAGTTGGGGTCAGGAATCTGTTCCTTAGAGCGGTCATCCTCCTCCAGCTGCACGATTAACTCTGCTTTGGTGAACTTTCCAACGCTCAACCCTCTCTTTCTGCACAGGGTTACAATGTCCTTCTTAAGGAGACGGTGACAGGCCATCACTCCGCTCCTCCCAAGTTGTTGTGGACTCACAGGCCTGTGTGCTCTCAGCTCCCCACGGTTTCCAGGGAGAACCCCTAGTGTGCCAGCCCTTCTCAAGGTCACCACCTCTTTGCCAGGTGTCACGGAGTCCCTGGGCGATGCTCTGGAACTGCTCCCCATGAAGCCAGTCAGGACTCTGGGGCAGTCGCCTTTCTGTGAGCAGCCTGTCTTCAGGACACACAGCTCACACAGCTTCCACCTTCCTGGGTCTGACCTCGGAGCATTCAGCATCCTCTGCCCCTCCGTGCGCTTCCCACAGCGAGTCCGCTCAGGCGGGGCTCCTGGGGAAGCCAGAGGGTCCTGCACCCCAACTTCGCAGTCAGACGTGACTCTCAGCCAGCCAGTAAAACAGAAGGTTTATTAGACGACAGGAACATGGTCTAACACAGAGCTTGCAGGTGCAGAGAACGGGACCCCTCAGCTGGGTCCATTTTGGGGGGTAGTGAGCCAGACAACCACGTCTGCACTTCACTCCATGTCCCAGCCAGCCCCAAACTGAAACTCCCTCCAGCCCCTCCTCCTCTGGGCTTTGTTCCTTTCCCGGGCCAGGTGGTCACCTGATTCCTTTGTTCTCCAACCCTTCAGCTCTCACCTTGCAGGGGGGGAAGGGCCCAGGCCATCAGTTGCCAGGAAACAGGGTGTCGGCCATTCTCTGTGTCCAGACTCCTGCACACACATGCCCTCTAGGGCTCTGCAATGATCATACACCCTTACTCCACCCCCTAGATACTTAAGAACTGCCTGGGGGAAACTGAGGCACCCCCACACTATTCAGAGGAAACATTAAGAACAGTCCCACTTCGTCACATCTCTCCCCCCTTCGAGATCGAACTGAGCGGGGTCACTTTAGCCGGTGACCTGGGGAAGTTCGAAGCCACCAACATTCCCATGGATGCCCCAGCATCTCTCCCATTCCTTGGTAGGAGTTACACCAGGCCCTTCCAGTTTCACGCCCTCCCTTAGGTCAGGGGTGGTCGATAGCACTTGCAGGCCGCATGTGGGAAGGTTTATGCAGCCCATGCCCTTTGGCCACCCCAAGAATGTCTCCCCATTGACCATCACCTTCTGCTCCCACTGGAGGTCCGGGGGGGCCTGGCCCCAGGAAACTCCACACAGACATATAGGTTGGGGTCAGGAGTGGGAGCCTGTCCACATCCCCAACCATCTGGCTGACGGAGTCTAAGGCCTTGGGACCCAGCAAGGGAGCTAGACACCGGGGCTTTTCCGCAGGGTCCCCTTGGTTCAAATCGCCAGCCTGCTCAAAGGCAGTGAGGTGGGCATCCAAACCCCCCCCTTAACCAGGGGCAGCAATTTAGTCTCGAGGTTCCCTGCGGAACTGGCCCCCCGGGGTCTATCCCCACTCACCCCTGAGGGGTCCCCTAGGCCTCTCCGCTCCCCCACCGCCAGTTCATGCTGCTGCTGCTTCTGCAGCTCTTTCTCGGGCTCTCGCTGTCTCTCACAGTCCTCTTGCTCTCTCAGACTCAGCTCCAATCCCGTCCGTCTCGATCCCCCGATGGGGAACCCGATCGTGAAGACCCTCGTCTGGTCGGGGACAGGAGTCTTGGCGATGCCTGGCTCCCGCTTCAGCTGCTCCCAGATCCTGCTATAGCCCCAGTTGGGGTCAGGAATCTGTTCCTTAGAGCGGTCATCCTCCTCCAGCTGCACGATTAACTCTGCTTTGGTGCACTTTCCAACGCTCAACCCTCTCTTTTTGCACAGGGTTACAATGTCCTTCTTAAGGAGACGGTGACAGGCCATCACTCCGCTCCTCCCAAGTTGTTGTGGACTCACAGGCCCGTGTGTTCTCAGCTCCCCACGGTTTCCAGGGAGAACCCCTAGTGTGCCAGCCCTTCTCGAGGTCACCACCTCTTTGCCAGGGTCGAGCTGCAGACTCCTCCGCCCCTTGGACTGCTTGCTGCAATCCCCAGGGGAACCCTGCTACTGCACAGTCCTTCTCGCTGGTCACACACTCCCAGGGGTTAACCGCCCCCCGAAACCGCTCCTCTCTGAGCCTTCAGCAGGCCTAGTCCTCGGCAATCCCCCTTCGTGTTACTGCTCCCCAGTCACTTACTGCAGGAAGCGCCATCCACGGGGTGCAGTACATCCCACCGCTGCCACCAGTTGTCACGGAGTCCCTGGGCGATGCTCTGGAACTGCTCCCCATGAAGCCAGTCAGGACTCTGGGGCAGTCGCCTTTCTGTGAGCAGCCTGTCTTCAGGACACACAGCTCACACAGCTTCCACCTTCCTGGGTCTGACCTCGGAGCATTCAGCATCCTCTGCCCCTCCGTGCGCTTCCCACAGCGAGTCCGCTCAGGCGGGGCTCCTGGGGAAGCCAGAGGGTCCTGCACCCCAACTTCGCAGTCAGACGTGACTCTCAGCCAGCCAGTAAAACAGAAGGTTTATTAGACGACAGGAACATGGTCTAACACAGAGCTTGCAGGTGCAGAGAACGGGACCCCTCAGCTGGGTCCATTTTGGGGGGTAGTGAGCCAGACAACCACGTCTGCACTTCACTCCATGTCCCAGCCAGCCCCAAACTGAAACTCCCTCCAGCCCCTCCTCCTCTGGGCTTTGTTCCTTTCCCGGGCCAGGTGGTCACCTGATTCCTTTGTTCTCCAACCCTTCAGCTCTCACCTTGCAGGGGGGGAAGGGCCCAGGCCATCAGTTGCCAGGAAACAGGGTGTCGGCCATTCTCTGTGTCCAGACTCCTGCACACACATGCCCTCTAGGGCTCTGCAATGATCATACACCCTTACTCCACCCCCTAGATACTTAAGAACTGCCTACTGAGGCACCCCCACACTATTCAGAGGAAACATTAAGAACAGTCCCACTTCGTCACACCAGGGTTGAGCTGCAGACTCCTCCACCCCTGGGACCGCTCGCTGCAATCCCCCGGGGGACCCTGTTACTGCAAAAGTCCTTCTCTCTGGTCACACACTTCCAGGAGTTAACCGCCCCCTGAAACCGTCTCTCTCTGAATCTTCAGCACGCCTGGTCCCCGTCAATCCCCCTTCGTTTTACTGCTCCCCAGTCACTTACTGCAGAAAGCGCCGTCCACGGGGTGCAGTACATCCCACCGCTGCCACCAGTTGTCACGGAGTCCCTGGGCGATGCTCTGGAACTGCTCCCCATGAAGTCAGTCAGGACTCTGGGGTAGTCGCCTTTCTGTGAGCAGCCTGTCTTCAGGACACACAGCTCACACAGCTTCCACCTTCCTGGGTCTGACCTCGGAGCATTCAGCATCCTCTGCCTCTCCGTGCGCTTCCCACAGCGAGTCCGCTCAGGCGGTGCTCCTGGGGAAGCCAGAGGGTCCTGCACCCCAACTTCGCAGTCAGACGTGACTCTCAGCCAGCCAGTAAAACAGAAGGTTTATTAGACGACAGGAACATGGTCTAAAACAGAGCTTGCAGGTGCAGAGAACGGGACCCCTCAGCTGGGTCCATTTTGGGGGGCAGTGAGCCAGACAACCACGTCTGCACTTCACTCCATGTCCCAGCCAGCCCCAAACTGAAAACCCCTCCAGCCCCTCCTCCTCTGGGCTTTGTTCCTTTCCCGGGCCAGGTGGTCACCTGATTCCTTTGTTCTCCAACCCTTCAGCTCTCACCTTGCAGGGGGGGAAGGGCCCAGGCCATCAGTTGCCAGGAAACAGGGTGTCGGCCATTCTCTGTGTCCAGACCCCTGCACACACCTGCCCTCTAGGGCTCTGCAATGATCATACACCCTTACCCCACCCCCTAGATACTTAAGAACTGCCTAGGGGAAACTGAGGCACCCCCACACTATTCAGAGGAAACATTAAGAACAGTCCCACTTCGTCACACCCTCCCAGAGCTCGGACAGAACCCAGGAGTCCTGGCTCCCATCCCCCTGGTCTCACACATTAGACTGCACTCCCCTCCCAGAGCTCGGACAGAACCCAGGAGTCCTGGCTCCCGTCCCCCTGGTCTCACACATTAGACTGCACTCCCCTCCCAGAGCTCGGACAGAACCCAGGAGTCCTGGCCCCTTCCTTAGCCCTTCTACCAAACGCCCTTAATTCCCGCTATAACCCAGGCCCCCTGGACTGACTGCAGCTGGGCTGGGCTAACACAGGCTGCCGCGGGCACGGCCCAGACTGATAAAAAACTCAGAAACGTCCCCAAAATCCACTTTATTGCTGTTCGCAAAGCTGCAGAGCAAGATCGGGGGCGGCCGGGCTGTGGACACACACGGGGCGGGGGCTATACAGGGACTGGGCCCTTCCCACACAGACCCCGCGCTGGGCCCTTGGACCCGGGGGAGCCACACATGGGTGCCATGGGGCCTTTAGCCGGGCGCTGGGGCTGCCCCACCCCCAGCCATGGACCCGATCCCATCCCACAGGGACCCCATTGACTGGGAATGGCCAAATCTGGCCCAAAGCCTTCTGGGTAACGGCTGGAGGGGCTTTACCTGGGGTGCCTGACAGCAGCCTCTGGCCAACAGGGGCCGGGCTCGGGGCCCAATCCAGTCAAGAGAAACCTTCCCCACAATGGCAATGGGGTTTGGATCAGCCCCGTGGGCCCTGCTGCCCCCTGACGAGGGGCCACCCCCATTCCCAGCCCCATGGGGCAGCAGCCCTCTCCCTGGATAGGTGCCCCCATCCCAAGCCCAGCGGGGGTGCAGGGCCCGCCTGTGGGGCCGGCTCCCCAGGGAGTCTCTAGCAGCTTGGCTTGGCGCGGTTACGGGGTCGGGGGGCCCCGCCTGGGTACAGCAGCTGGCACCAATGGGCACGGAGCAGGGACGCTGGGGGCAGAGCTGGAGGGGGTGGGGGCTGTGAGCGGGTCTCAGGAAGGCATCTGGGAAGGATTCAGGGGCCCCGGCTTCTCCCGGCGTTTATCTGAAAGGCAAAGAGGGTCAGCCCTGGGCCCTGACGTGAGGCTGGCAGGGATCAGGGCCATTCCCCAGCACCCGCAGGGACTCTCTCATTGACACGGGGGGGGGGCTGGGTGGGTTCAGGAGCTGTGGCTGGCTGGGGGGGCACAGCGGGTTGCGGGGTCTCCCCAGTGGGTGCTGGGTGGGGGAGGGGCTGTCGCTGGATGGGGGAGCACAACGGGTGGGGGGATCTCCCGGGCTGAGTCTGCGTGGCAGGGCCCAGCGTGGTGTGGCTCTGCCAGCAGCCCAGTGTGGACGCAGCGCAGCCAGGAGGGGTTTATCCCCAGTGTGGACGCAGCGCAGCCAGGAGGGGTTTATCCCCAGTGTGGACGCAGCGCAGCCAGGAGGGGTTTATCCCCAGCGTGGGGACAGCACCTCCCCGCACGGCCCTCGCCCGGTCCACACATGCCCTGCTCTGCAGAGCGACTGTGTGCACACGGGGGGCTTGGCGACACAGCGGTGTGCTGGGGTGTGGGGTCACACCTCTGACCCCCGGAGCTCTGTGTGTGTCCCGGGGGTGGTGTCACACCTAACTGCAGAGCTCTGCTGGGATAAGCGTTAAGTGTAGACCAGGCCACAGGCAGGGTTCGGGGAGACCATCCATGGGAGACCGGGACGCCCGGCCATTCCCCTCTGGGGCACTGGTTCCCACCTGGCCTCAGGGTGGGATCCTGGCTGGCTCGGGGCGGGAATGGGACACAGGCCCTTTCCCTCGGGTGGATCTGCTGTTAGTGACCAAACTTCCTTCCCCCCGGAGTCTGTCCTGGGCCCCGTGTGTGGCACGCTGGTCCCTGTCCCCTGCCCAAACCCACTGCCTCCTGTCCCCATTGGCACCAACTTGTCCCCCCCACCCTCACAGCTAACGCGCGGGGTGTTCACACTGCCCCCGGCAGGAGGGGCCGAGAGGGGCTGGCCTGGGACCCAGGAGCCCTGGGGTCATTCCCAGCCCTGCCACAGACTGTGTGTGACCCTGGGCCAGTCACTGACTTCTCTGGGCCTCCCTCCCCAGCTGGGCATTGGGGACAATGGCCCTGCCCCACGGGGGGTGGGGGTGGTGTATGCGGGCAGCAGAGAGGGGGAGGGGATCAGAGACAGGGCGGCCAGAGAAGCCCCTTCGGGAGATCGATGGTGGGAGCAGCTGGGAGGCCGAGCTGTGCCTGACCCATGGAGACTGAGCCCCCTGCTCTGGTGGGGTGCCTAGGGGGCAGAGCTCAGGCCCATGGAGGTGGGGGTGGGGGAAGCTCACAACTTCTGCCTGTGGGGTCAGCCCCGAACCTTCCACTGGGCCTAAATTTATCCACAACCAGAGACCCCCCCGAACAGACCCGGCCTGCCCCAGCCAGCAGCAGAGGGTCGAGGCATGAGGGGAAGGGGATGGAGGGTCCCAGGCTTGTTGCTGGGGACCCTGCTCTGGTGGGGGCTGGTCCCTGGGCTGGCCCCGCTCTCCAGCTGCCCCGGGGCCATGGCAGGCACCAGGCGAGTCCTGCAGCCCGACCCCAGACCCTGCTCTGCCCCCTACGAGGGAGAAGTATGGAACCGAGCCCTGCTGGGGCCGGCTCTGCCTGGCAACGGATGATGCTGCCCAGACTCGATGCTGCCTGGCCCCTGGGCTGCGGGTGCCCAATCCCCAGGGCCGTGGGCAGCATCCTGGGGCTGGTGCTCGGAGCTGGATAGAGAAGGTCTCAGGCTGGGGGGTCCTGACAACTTTCCAGATCTCTCCCTCCTGAGCCACGATGGGGGCGGGTCGGATCCTGGGGGCCGGGAGCTGCTGGGCTGGGGCTCTGCTCGTGACACTGATGGTGCTGAGAACCCACCTGGCTCGTTGCACGGAGCCCCCAGGTGAGCAGAGACCCCAGCGCCCCGAGGAGCCCCGTCCTGGGCAGGCGCTGGGCGTATCTGGGGGGGGGGAATCGGACGCCAGCGCCCTGGGCAGCCCCGTCCTGGGCAGGTGCTGGGTGTATCTGGGGGGGTCAGACCCGACATGCCTTGGGGTCCCCTCTCCTGGTGTCCTGTCTGCTCAGTGTCTCCCCCGTTCTCTGTGTCCCCTCCCGGAGGTGCTGGGACGAGGGGGCTGCCGCACCCCCCGGATTGAAGCGGTTTCCCTCCCACACGGGGGTCACGGTTCGGGTCAAGGGCTCTCAGCATCCCCCCCCCCCCCGGTACACATGGGCCCAGCGCCCCCCCGCTCGGTGTTACCGTCACTGCCCCCCCCCCCGTCCATGCCCGCCTGCGTCCGGGGCTGGGGGGGCGGCTACGGGCTCGTGGGCGCTCCCGGAGGATTTGGGCCCCCCCGGGGGCAGCAGGGGGCGGGGCGGGGCAGGGCGGGGTGCCCGAGCCGAGCCGAGCCGAGCCCGTCCCCCCCAGGGCGGTACGTGTACCAGCAGAACTCGGAGTGTCTGTTCACCAACGGCACCGAGCGGGTCCGGTTCCTGGACCGGTACCTCTACAACGGGCGGCAGGACGTCCACTTCGACAGCGAGCTGGGGGTGTTCGTGGCGGACACGGAGCTGGGCCGGCCCGACGCCGAGCTCTGGAACAGCCAGCCCGAGACCCTGGCGTACGAGCGGGGGTCGGTGGACCGGTTCTGCCGGCACAACTACGAGGTGGACGCGCCTTTCACCGTGGCCCGGAGAGGTGAGCGGGGGGGGGGGGGTCCTCCGCTCTGCCCCCCCCCCCCCAGTTATCTCCATGCTCCGGCTCTTGGCCGGGGGGGGCGGCTGAGCTGCTCCTGCGCCGGGGGGGCAGGGGGCGGGGTCACGGGCAGGGGGCGGGGCCCAGGGAGCGGGGGGGGCGGCGGGGGCCGGGGTCACCCAGCGGCAGGAGCAGGCGGGAACCCGGCGCTGGGGCGGGGACGTCTCCGCCCTTCGCCTTCCCCCCCCCGCCCGTCCCGGCCCCCCCCGGGTCTGGCTGCGGCACCCCCTCTCTGCAGGCCGGGGACTGACCCTCTCCCCCTCCCAGCCCCCCCCGCCCCTCTGGGGGTTCAGCCCCCCAGCACCCCCCACTCAGACCCCCCTCGGGGCAGGCAGCTGCTGCGGCTCCTACCCCCCTCCCTGGGGTGGGCGGGGCTGGATGATGGGGCAGAACTTTCCCCTCCCCTCCCCCCAACCCTGCCCCTCCCCCTTGGAGTGCCCCTGGCAGGAGGGTGGGGGCAGCCCCTGGTCCCTGGGCCAGACCCCGTTTCCCTGGGCCCGGAGGGTCAGACCATCCCTGGCTCTGTCCCCATGGGGGTGACAGGACGCGACTCCCTCAGGCCCTTTCTGCTGATCCCGGAGCTGGGGCCTTTCCCTGGGGGACGGGGGGTCACCCTGCTCTGTCTCCAGCCCCTCCCCCAGCCCCTCCCCCAACCCCTCCCCTTCTCTCCCCCCAGTTCAGCCCAAGGTGAAAGTTTCCCCCACGACATCGGGGTCTGGGTCCCACTCCCACCTTCTGGTTTGCTCCGTGACGGGGTTTTACCCCGGGGGGATCGAGATCAAGTGGCTGAAGAACGAGCAGGAGCAGACGGCCGGGGTGGTGTCCACGGAGCTGCTCCAGAACGGAGACTGGACCTTCCAGATCCTGGTGATGCTGGAGATGAGCCCCCGGCGCGGGGACGTCTACACCTGCCAGGTGGAGCACATCAGCCTGCAGGACCCCCTCAGCATGCACTGGGGTAAGAGCCTCTGGTTTGGGGCAGCCCCTGAGCCCACAGGGGCAGCCCTCGCTCTGTGGAGCCCCCAGGGGATGGGCCTGGGGCAGAGCGCTCACACGAGCCCTGCTAACCCAAATCTATCAACCTGGGCTGGGAGCTCACTTCCACGGGCTCCAAAACGCTGTGTAGACACAACCTGAGTGGGGCAGTGACGGGGCGGGGAGAGGAGAAAAGTGTCCATAATAATGACTGGTCTGGAGAAGGGAGATCGGGAGCATCTGTTCTCCCTGTCTTACCACACGAGGACAAGGAGAGACACAATGGAATGGAGAGGGGACAAATTCAAAGTTGATAAAAGGAAGGATGTTTCCCACACACTGGGTAATTATCCTGTGGAACTCACTGCCACAGGATATAACTGAGCCCAAGAACAGAGCAAGGTTCACACAGAGACTGGCTATTTCTGTGTCTCACAGACTATCCAAGGCTAGACTCAGATCTGTCCCTTGGGTAGGGCGAATCGGAGCAACTGCGCCCGGGCCGGTGCGATTGGCCGGTGCGATTGGTCCCGAAAGAAGTGAATCCGTCACTTCTGCCCTGGGCCCCGCACTCCCCTAGACGGCCCTGGCTAGACCAGTTCATGCTGACAATGGGCAGGGACATGAGACAAACCAAGAGGAGCCCTGACAAGGGGCAGATTGTCCCACAGCTGCTCCTGCCGGCTCTGCCCCATCCGGTGCTGGTCACCGGCGCAGACGGGAGCCTGGCCCGGAGGCCCGTGGCTCTGACCCGGCTGCCCATTCCCCTTTCCCTGTCTCCCAGAGGGACAGTCTGATGCTGCCAGGAGCAAGATGCTGACGGGCGTCGGGGGCTTCGTGCTGGGGCTGATCTTCCTGGTGCCGGGACTCCTCATCTACCTGAAGAATAAGAAAGGTGAATGGCTCCGGGTGGGGGCGGGGCACCAGGGTGTCTCTCGGGGGATGTGGGTCTGGGGCGTGTGGAGGCTCAGGGGAATCTGGGTCTGGCTGCAGCCCCCCCCCGGGACTGCTCAGAGTCTGGCAGGGGCCTCCCAGTTTCTGGTCTCCTGGGGCCGGCGCTGGGTGAGACCCTCCCCGCTCCTAGGGCAGGGACAGAGCAGGGGCCATGGGGAGATCTCAGTGCGGGGCCCCGGGGCCAGGCTGGGAGCTCCCACTCTCCCCTCCCCCATCCCCAGGGTGGGACAGAGACCCCAACCCCTCGCAGTGAGGGGATCTGCCCCTACCCCGGGGCTCAGAGCCTTTCCCATCCCCTCCCCCGAGGCAGGAATCCTGGGTCAGGGATTTACAGTAATAATGGGGCAGTGGGGGTGTCACGGAGTCCCTGGGCGATGCTCTGGAACTGCTCCCCATGAAGTCAGTCAGGACTCTGGGGTAGTCGCCTTTCTGTGAGCAGCCTGTCTTCAGGACACGCAGCTCACACAGCTTCCACCTTCCTGGGTCTGACCTCGGAGCATTCAGCATCCTCTGCCCCTCCGTGCGCTTTCCCCCAGCGAGTCCGCTCAGGCGGGGCTCCTGGGGAAGCCAGAGGGTCCTGCACCCCAACTTCGCAGTCAGACGGGACTCTCACCCAGCCAGTAAAACAGAAGGTTTATTAGACGACAGGAACATGGTCTAAACCAGAGCTTGCAGGTGCAGAGAACGGGACCCCTCAGCTGGGTCCATTTTGGGGGGCAGTGAGCCAGACAACCACGTCTGCACTTCACTCCATGTCCCAGCCAGACCCAAACTGAAACCCCCTCCAGCCCCTCCTCCTCTGGGCTTTGTTCCTTTCCCGGGCCAGGTGGTCACCTGATTCCTTTGTTCTCCAACCCTTCAGCTCTCACCTTGCAGGGGGGGAAGGGCCCAGGCCATCAGTTGCCAGGAAACAGGGTGTCGGCCATTCTCTGTGTCCAGACTCCTGCACACACCTGCCCTCGAGGGCTCTGCAATGATCATACACCCTTACTCCACCCCCTAGATACTTAAGAACTGCCTAGGGGAAACTGAGGCACCCCCACACTATTCAGAGGAAACATTAAGAACAGTCCCACTTCGTCACAGGGGGGTAACCCCAGGTTTGGGGCCTGGAGGGGGGCTGGGGTCCAAGTGAGGGGAGTTCCATGCCGTGGGGTAGGGGCTGGAGCTCTGACCCCAGGATCTGGCTCCCCCCGCCCAGGGCTTTGACCATGTCTTTGTTTTTCAGGGCGCCCCGTTCCCCAACCTCCAGGTAATTTCAATCCCCATCCCCCATTAAACCCGCCTCCCCCCACACTGACCACAGGCTGCCTGGGACACCCGTGGGGCGGCTGCTTCTGCCCCTTGGCCCATGACACCCGCCCGGCTCAGCCCCGGGGCAGCTGGGCAATGGGGCCCTCGCACCTCGGAGGAGGAGTCTGTGGCTCCCTCGGTCCCCGTTCAGGCCGATCCCCGAGCTGCTCCCGGGGCCCTGCGGCTGCCGGGCAGAGTCCCTGGGGGTGCCCTGAGGCCTGGCAGAGAAAATCCCCCGTCCCTCAGGCTAGCCCCACGGCCAGGGGCTGATTTCTTTCCCCTCTCCCTGCAGGGCTCCTGAGTTAGATCCTGGGCGTCGGACCCCCCGGCCGGCAGGAGTTTCCGTCCGTCTCTCCCAGCCCCTCGCCCAGCCCGGAGAATGCAGAACCTGGGGCCGGTCCCTTCCCGTCCCCATCTGCTCCCTGCGCTCTGCCCGGCTCCAGCCCGCGCTGCCCCCGCCTGGGGACCCGTCCCTGCCCCTCAGTCCCCACAGGGCCCTGGGGAGTGTCCTGGAGTCCCCGGGCGATGCTCTGGGACTGCTACCTACGAAGCCAGACAGGACTCTGGGGAAGACTCCTCTCGGGGAGCAGACTGTCTGCAGGGCAAGAAGCTCACACAGCTTCCACCTTCCTGGGTCTGACCTCGGAGCATTCAGCCTTCTTTGCCCCTCCGTGCGCTTCCCACAGCGAGTCTGCCCAAGCGGGCTCCTGGGGAAGCCAGAGGGTCCTGCACCCCAACTCCGCAGTCAGATGGGACTCTCAGCCAGCCAGGAAAACAGAAGGTTTATTAGATGACAGGAACATGGTCTAAACCAGAGCTTGCAGGTGCAGAGAACAGGACCCCTCAGACTCAGCCGGGTCCATTTTGGGGGGCAGTGAGCCAGACAACCATGTCTGCACTTCACTCCTTGTCCCCAGCCAGCCCCAAACTGAAACTCCGTCCCGCCCCTCCTCCTCTGGGCTTTGTCCCTTTCCCGGGCCAGGAGGGTACCTGATTCCTTTGTTCTCCGACCCTTTAGCTCTCACCTTGCAGGGGGGAAGGGCCCAGGCCATCAGTTTCCAGGAGACAGGGTGTCAGACATTTATGTACCCTGGCCCTTTGCTCTGCAACAATTACACCGCCTTATCTCATCCCCTAGAGACTTAAGAAATGCATAGGGGAAACTGAGGCACCCCTACAGTATTCAGAAGAAACATTAAGAACAGTCCCACTTTGTCATAGGGCGACCCTGTCACGCTGTCTGCAGTGGCTCACAAGTGTGGGTACCAATCTCAGGGCACAGTTAGTACCCGGGGCACCAACCCCAAATTGGCTGAGTTCTGTACTGAGATTTCACCAAAGTATCGGGTGTGAACTCCGCAGGCCCGGTAACGATGTCACTGTGGAGCCACAGACAGTCCCCTTGGGCTCTCCCATCTGTCTGGCCACCCCGGCCAGCCTGCCTTTGTGATCGATCAGTCACCCCTTCCCCCACAAATCACAGTGATATTCGGGTCTCTCCCTGTCCCAAAGGACCAGTCGCTTTCCCCAGGTCAGTAGCACCTTCGGTCCCACTCCACAGACAACGCTTGTAGCCAATCCTGCAATAACCTCAGTAAAGACTTGTTAACGGAGACCAAGCACTGGGATTTCTTTACAAGGTTACAGCAGGTCCCACACACACACCAGGGAGTTACAGCCCTCGGGGCCCAAAGGTCGCAGGAACTCCTGTCAGGAGCAAGCGCTGTGTCTGCTATGGGGCTGACTGGGGCACAGCCAGGGGATCGGTGCCTGGTCATTCCTGCCCCTTCCCATCCACGCCGCGCCCAGCGAGGGATTTCTCCTGGACGGGGGTTTTCATGCCCTTCCTGCCCATGTTCAAGCTGGTGGGACGAGCGCTCCTGCACCTCTCCCCTTCATGGGGGTGTGTGGGGGGGGGGCCTCCTGTGTCCTCTGAGGCCCCCCAAGGGCCCACCTGGGGCGTGGGGCTTGTCCCCACGCCCAGGGCTGCTGCAGCGGGTCTGATGAAGACGCTTTACGCCGCTGGGAGGGAGATCTGCACTTGGCCCGATAACCCATCTCTGCGCGCGGCATGGCAGTGGGGGGGGGACGCTCTCCGCCGGCAGCGCTGGGCCCACGAGGGCTTGTGTCCGTCTCACTTCCGTCACTCCGGGAGGTGGTTTATTCACACAGGGGCGTGCGCCGGGGGGGGGCGAGCAGGGGCACCCCCCCAATCAGCGCAGGCACAGAACTCCCCCAGCCCCAGGGCGGGAGACATCAATTACGGTGAGATGAACCGTAGTGCAGACTTCCCGGGGGCGTCTGTTGCTGGGCCGGGCGGAGAGAACCCGGCCTGGGCACTCTGGTGTTTCACGCTCGGTGACTCGTCTCTCCTGCCTGGATTCACTGATTCAGAGCAAACCCTTCCCTGTCGCCTGATGGCCTGGGACCCCCCGTTCTGGGGGAGACTAACGCAGACAGCCCTCACGAGCATTTCACACAGTCTGACCCCACTGGGATCCATCTAACGCCCGTTGGAACAGTGCGAACACACAGCTGAGCCAGGCTGGGCACGGGGCAGGGGCCGGATCTGATTCGGGGGAGGGAGCAGGAGCCCACGGGGTGGCTCTGAGAGGGGGTGATTCCTGGGGGAGGCTGCGGGTTTGTTCCCAGGCTGGATGGGCTCCTTGCCCAGGGGTGGGGAGAGCGGGGAGGGGGCCCCCAAATCCCTTTCCCAGGGGAGAGGCAGCTGGAGAGATGCTCCTGTCCCAAGCCCGGGCTGCAGGGACCAGCCTGACACCCCCAGCCCCGGGGGCTCAGCAGTGGGGCAGCAGGGCTGGGGAGCAGATCGGGGGCAGCACACGGGCGTGGGGGCAGTTGTTACCCAGCCTTCCAACCCCCCGCCCCCAGGGCCCCTCACCTCCCGGGGCCCAGAGATTCACACCCCGGAGCCCCGTCCCCAGCAGAGTCCCAGACCTGTCTCAGGGGGGTTGGCTCTGAGCTCCAGTGTGATGAAATAGGAATTTTCTGTGATACTGTTAGGAGGCTTGTGTGTGCCTCAGTTTCCCACATATGCTGTTTGGCGGCGTTAGCACACTCCAGGAGGGGGGGGCAGGAGCAGGAACGTGGCGTGCTCAGGGGAGGAGGCGGGGAAGAGGCGGGGCCCGGGCCGGGATTTGAGGAAGGGGTGGGGCAGGGGCGGGGCCTCATGGAAGGGGTGGGGTGGGGGCAGAGGTGGGGGTCGAGCACCCAGGGAAAAGAGGGGAAGTTGGCGTCTGTGCCCTGAGGGCTGCAGCTCCGTTGACCCAAGCGTTTGGTGCAGACCAGGCCGGGCTGGTCCCGGGGCCCTTCGCCCGCTGACGTCTGTGACTGGGCCCTGCAGGGCGCCCGACCCCCGTCCCTTCTCCCCAGCCTGCCCCGGGGTGCCCGCTGCAGCTGCTGTTCCCTCCTTGCCCTGCCGAGGGCGCCCTCTCCTTCCTCACAGGGCTGGGGTTTGGCTGGCTATGGGCTGGCGGGTCCCCAGCTGGCTGCTGTGGGGGGACAGACACGTGTGGGGCTGGTGGCTCTTGACCTGGGGTCTCTGGGTCTCCCGTGGCTCAGGTGGGAAGAAAGTTGGGACTGGTTCTGTTCAGCAGTTTGGTGCAGTTGCTATTTTGAGCACTCACAAAAACAGCTCCTCTGCCCCACGTCCAGCACTGCCCCTGCCCCCGCCCAGTGCCCCCATCCGACCCTGCCCACTGTCCCTGCCCCCCATCCGGCCCTGCCCCCCCCTCACTGCCCCCCATCCAGCCTTGATCCCCCCTCGCTGCCCCACATCCAGCCCTGCCCCCCCATCTGGCCCTGCCCCCACCTCACTGCCCCCCATGCAGCCTTGATCCCCCCTCGCTGCCCCACATCTGGCCTCGCTGCCCCTGCTCCCCAGGCGTGATCTGCCATCACGGCCTCGGTGGGCGGACAGGCCTGGCCCAGACCCCCTGCCCCGGCATGGCCAGGCGACCCCTCGGCGCTGCCGGGCTGCCAGGGGTCATTTCAGCTTCCCCAGCCCGGGGATGCTCTGTGCCCCGCGGCCCAGTGTGAAGCGGTGCCCGGCGTTGTGACGGGGCCGGGTCCCTGGGCCACGCGCTCGGAGCTGCTCTCCCTGGCGGGGAGCCGGGGCACAAGGAGCCGCTGGGCGCAGGCTGGACCCTGCCGCGGGCAGCAGCCCCGAGGGGAGGAAAGCTGCTGCGGCTAAGAACGGTTGTGGGGTGTCTGCGAAGAGTCGTGGTTGTCGCAACCCCACCGTGGCCCGGGAGTTTCTTACAGCCCGGCCCGTGGCGCTGACATGTCAGCCGGCCAGCGGGGTGTGTGTAAGGAGGGAGGCGTCCACTAGGGGGCAGCAGGGGCTAGGGCGGGGGTGGCTGGGAGCCAGGACTCCTGGGTTCAGCTCCCACTTTGCCACTAATTTGATGTGTCATCTTGGCCAATCCCTCGCTCTGCCCAGGTCTCCGTTCCCCGGGGGGCCGATCCCACCTTTGTCCTGGCGTCAGGCTCCTGCGGGCAGAGCCCGTGGGTCTGGGCAGCCCCCGGCACAGCACAGCCCTGCTCTCGGTTGTTTCTGGGAGGTGTGCTATGGGCGGTGATACAAGGGACCTGGGGTGTCTGAGGGAATTGCTCGTTGGACTTCTGCTTAGCCAGTGGGGTGAGACCGAAGTCCTCTCTGTCTGGCTGGTGGGTGCCTTAGTAGCGAAGGACCCCAGCCGTGGGCTCTGACTCCCCTGCTCTAAGCAGTTTGTCCTGAATTGACACTCCCAGTGGGGCCCCCCAAAGGCCGCCTTGTCACACCTGCGGACCCCGTCCCTGGCGGTTTGGCACCGGTGGCTCTGCCCCCACCCGGGGGTGCTCCGAGCAGTGACGGCTCCAGGGCAGACCCCGCTTCTCTGCCCCCCGCGTCTGAAAGGGCAGAGAAGACGCGTCACCTGCCTGCAGAAGGGTTTGACTCTCTGTGCCCCCCGGGGCTCTCTGGGGGTCACCGCAGCCAGCGAGCGGGAGAGGCAGGGCCAGGCCCGCGCTACCCCGAGAACCAGGAGGCAAAGCGCTGGGACCTGTTTGGTACAAAGCCTCCTCCTGCTGCGAGCCTCCAGCCACCTCTGCCGAACCAGCGGGTGTGGCTGGGGCGATAGGATTTTGGCATCTGGGACTCCCTGGCTCCACTCCAGGGTTCGCTGCCCCAAGGTTTGTGGCAGGAATTCCCGCCGTCGTGCGGCAGGGACCGAGGGTGGCGAGAACCTCCCCCCAGCCTGCCTGGGATACGGCGGACTCGGTGGCCAGACCGGTCGCCCTGCAGAGAGGCCTGTGGCTGCAGACGTCGGGGCTCTCGCAGGAGGTGCAGCACCGACCTCAGGGCCTTCCCTTCAACGGGGCCTCGCTCTTCTGGGACCCCACGAAGCTGCCTGGCCTCAAGGGCTCCAGAGCCGCACTGCGATCGGCCCCGGGCCCTGTGTGCGTCAGTCGTCTGGCGCAAGCGTGTCAGGCCTCAGCGGCCCCCTCGGGTCTCGGGTCCCTCCCGGCACGAGCCTCACAAACGAAAGGGGCGAGGGCACCGGTGCAGTCAGGGCCTGCTGGTCCCCACCTCTGCCCAGCGGGTGTCACGGAGTCCCTGGGCGATGCTCTGGAACTGCTCCCCATGAAGCCAGTCAGGACTCTGGGGCAGTCGCCTTTCTGTGAGCAGCCTGTCTTCAGGACACACAGCTCACACAGCTTCCACCTTCCTGGGTCTGACCTCGGAGCATTCAGCATCCTCTGCCCCTCCGTGCGCTTCCCACAGCGAGTCCGCTCAGGCGGGGCTCCTGGGGAAGCCAGAGGGTCCTGCACCCCAACTCCGCAGTCAGACGTGACTCTCAGCCAGCCAGTAAAACAGAAGGTTTATTAGACGACAGGAACATGGTCTAAAACAGAGCTTGCAGGCGCAGAGAACGGGACCCCTCAGCTGGGTCCATTTTGGGGGGCAGTGAGCCAGACAACCACGTCTGCACTTCCCTCCATGTCCCAGCCAGCCCCAAACTGAAAACCCCTCCAGCCCCTCCTCCTCTGGGCTTTGTTCCTTTCCCGGGCCAGGTGGTCACCTGATTCCTTTGTTCTCCAACCCTTCAGCTCTCACCTTGCAGGGGGGAAGGGCCCAGGCCATCAGTTGCCAGGAAACAGGGTGTCGGCCATTCTCTGTGTCCAGATCCCTGCACACACCTGCCCTCTAGGGCTCTGCAATGATCATACACCCTTACCCCACCACCTAGATACTTAAGAACTGCATAGGGGAAACTGAGGCACCCCCACACTATTCAGAGGAAACATTAAGAACAGGCCCACTTCATCACATCTCTCCCCCCTTCGAGATCGAACTGAGCGGGGTCACTTTACCCGGTGACCTGGGGAAGTTTGAAGCCACCAATGTTCCCATGGATGCCCCAGCATCTCTCCCGTTCCTTGGTAGGAGTTACACCAGGCCCTTCCAGTTTCACGCCCTCCCTTAGGTCGGGGGTGGTCGATAGCACTAGCAGGCTGCATGTGGGAAGGTTTCTGCAGCCCATGCTGTCACGGAGTCCCTGGGCGATGCTCTGGAACTGCTCCCCATGAAGCCAGTCAGGACTCTGGGGCAGTCGCCTTTCTGTGAGCAGCCTGTCTTCAGGACACGCAGCTCACACAGCTTCCACCTTCCTGGGTCTGACCTCGGAGCATTCAGCATCCTCTGCCCCTCCGTGCGCTTCCCACAGCGAGTCCGCTCAGGCGGGGCTCCTGGGGAAGCCAGAGGGTCCTGCACCCCAACTTCGCAGTCAGACGTGACTCTCAGCCAGCCAGTAAAACAGAAGGTTTATTAGACGACAGGAACATGGTCTAAAACAGAGCTTGCAGGTGCAGAGAACGGGACCCCTCAGCTGGGTCCATTCTGGGGGGCAGTGAGCCAGACAACCACGTCTGCACTTCACTCCATGTCCCAGCCAGCCCCAAACTGAAACTCCCTCCAGCCCCTCCTCCTCTGGGCTTTGTTCCTTTCCCCGGCCAGGTGGTCACCTGATTCCTTTGTTCTCCAACCCTTCAGCTCTCACCTTGCAGGGGGGGAAGGGCCCAGGCCATCAGTTGCCAGGAAACAGGGTGTCGGCCATTCTCTGTGTCCAGACCCCTGCACACACCTGCCCTCTAGGGCTCTGCAATGATCATACACCCTTACCCCACTGTCACGGAGTGTGGGGGAGTCCAGGCCCTGCACCCCTCTTCCTGGGATCCACTGAGACTCTCAGCCAGCCAGTAAAACAGAAGGTTTATTGGACAACAGGAACACAGTCCACAACAGAGCTTGTGGGTACAACCAGGACCCCTCAATCACGTCCTTCTGGGGGAGCAGGGAGCTTAGACCCCAGCCCTGGGGTTCCCTGTGTTCCTCCCCCCCAGCCTCCAAACTGCCAACTAACCCCACCCAGCAGGTTCCCTGCTGCAGCCTCTGTTCACATTCCTGGGCAGAGGTGTTACCTCCCCCTCCCCCTCCTGGCTCAGGTGACAGGCTCTCAGGTCTCCCATCCCCAGGGCACATTCCCAGGTCAACACTCCCCCCTCCCTGCTGAGTCACATCGTCACATCTCTCCCCCCTTCGAGACTGAACTGAGCGGGGTCACTGTGACCAGTGACCTGGGGAAGTTCGGGGCCCCCTCTCCGGGACAGCGCATCCGCTATCAGGTTGGCACTTCCCTTCACGTGGACCACGTCCATGTCGTAATCCTGCAGGAGCAGGCTCCATCTCAGGAGCTTGGCGTTGGCTCCTTTCATCTGGTGCAGCCAGGTCAGGGGAGAGTGGTCGGTGTAGACGGTGAAGTGTCGCCCGAAGAGATAGGGCTCTAGTTTCTTGAGGGCCCACACCATGGCCAGGCACTCCTTCTCGATGGCCGCGTAGTGTTGCTCCCGGGGTAGCAACTTCTTGCTCAGGTACACGATGGGGTGTCTCTCCCCCTTTTCATCCTCCTGCATTAACACCGCCCCCAGTCCCGTGTCGGAGGCGTCGGTGAACACCACAAAGGGCTTGTCAAAGTCTGGGTTTGCCAGAACTGGGCCACTGACCAGAGCCTCCTTCAGCGCCCGGAAAGCCTCCTGGCACTGCTCGGTCCAGACCACCTTGTCTGGCTTCCCCTTCTTGCATAGCTCAGTGATGGGGGTGGCTATGGCGCTAAAGTGGGGCACAAATCTTCGGTAGTATCCTGCCATCCCAATAAAGGCTTGGACCTGCTTTTTGGTGTGGGGAGCGGGCCAGTCTCTGATCACCTCCACCTTGGCTGGTTCCGGCTTTAGGCGGCCGCTCCCCACCCGATGGCCCAGGTAAGACACTTCCGCCATCCCCACCTTGCACTTCTCCGCTTTTACCGTCAGCCCAGCCCCCTGGAGTCGGTCCAGCACTTGTCTAACCTGGGACACGTGGTCCTCCCAGGTCTGGCTAAAGACACAGATGTCATCAATATACGCCACGGCAAAACTCTCCATCCCCCTCAGGAGCTGGTCCACCAGGCGCTGGAAGGTGGCCGGCGCTCCCTTGAGGCCGAAAGGCAGGGTCAGGAACTCATAGAGCCCCAGAGGGGTGATAAAGGCCGATTTCAGCCGGGCATCTGCATCCAGCGGCACTTGCCAGTAGCCCTTTGTAAGGTCCATGGTGGTAAGGTACCGAGCTCCTCCCAGCTTGTCTAGGAGCTCATCAGGCCTGGGCATGGGGTAGGCATCAGATACTGTGATGGCATTGAGCTTCCGATAGTCCACGCAGAACCGGACCGACCCATCCTTTTTGGGGACCAGCACCACCGGCGAGGCCCAAGGGCTGGCAGATGGCTGGATCACCCCCAAAGCCAGCATGTCCCGGACCTCTCTTTCCAGGTCCTGAGCAGTTTTCCCTGTGACTCGGAAGGGGGAGCATCTTATCGGCGGGTGCGACCCGGTCTGCACCCGGTGGACAGTCAGATTAGTGCGTCCAGGCTGGTTGGAAAACAGCTGTCGGTACGGATGCAGCACCTCCCTGACCTCAGCTTGCTGGGCAGGGGTTAGCTGATCCGAGAGGGGAATTGTTTCCAGGGGGGGAACCAGCTCTGGTCCCAGGGAATAGATCTACTAAAGGGTCATCTCCCTGCTCTTCCCACTGTCCACACACGGCCAACACCACATTCCCCCTGGCATAATATGGCTTCATCATATTCACATGGTACACCCGGCGGTGGTGCGCCCGGTTCGACAGCTCCACCACATAGTTTACCTCATTGAGCTGCTTGACGACCTTGAAAGGGCCCTCCCAGGCGGCCTGTAGTTTGTTCTTTCTCACTGGGATGAGAACCATCACCGGATCCCCAGTGGCGTAGGCACGGGCCCTTGCCGTGCGGTCATACCAGACCTTCTGCTTCTTCTGGGCTCTGGCCAGATTCTCCCTGGCCAGGCCCATGAGTTCAGCAAGTCTCTCTCGGAAGATCAGGACATACTCCACCACTGACTCTCCATCGGGAGTGGCCTTCCCTTCCCACTCGTCTCTCATCAGGTCCAGGGGGCCCCTCACCCTCCTTCCATATAACAGTTCGAAAGGCGAAAATCCGGTAGACTCCTGTGGCACCTCCCTGTACGCGAACAGCAGGTGAGGTAAGTACTTGTCCCAATCCTGCGGGTGCTGGTTCATAAAGGTTTTCAGCATCATCTTTAGCGTCCCGTTAAACCTCTCCACCAGCCCGTTGGACTGGGGGTGATAAGCTGAGGCCCAGTCGTGCCGGACCCCACATTTCTCCCACAAGCACCGGAGCAGGGCCGACATGAAGTTGGAGCCTTGGTCTGTCAAGACTTCCTTGGGGAACCCCACTCGGCTGAAAATGGTCAGGAGCGCATCGGCCACGGTGTCTGCTTCAATGGAAGCTAAGGGCACTGCCTCGGGGTAGCGGGTGGCAAAATCTACCACCACCAGAATGTATTTCTTCCCCGACCGGGTCGTCCTGCTGAGAGGCCCCACGATGTCCATGGCCACCTTCTGGAAAGGCTCCTCTATGATGGGCAAAGGTCTCAAAGCCGCTTTCCCCTTGTCCCGGGCCTTCCCCACCCTCTGACAGGGGTCACAGGATCGGCAATACTGCCGGACCGTGGTAAAGACCCCGGGCCAGTAAAAGTTCTGTAGCAACCTCTGCCGGGTGCGCCGGATTCCCTGGTGCCCTGCGAGGGGGATGTCATGGGCCAGGTACAGGAGCTTGCGGCGATACTTCTGGGGGACCACCAGCTGCCTCCTGATCCCACAGGACTCCACTTCCCTTGTGGGAGCCCATTCTCGGTACAGGAACCCCTTCTCCCACAGGAACCTCTCCTGGCAGCCTCTCCTCATGGTCCGTACCACCCTGAGGTCGGCCAGGTCCCTGAGCTTCCGCAAGGAGGGATCTTTCCTCAACTCGGCCTGGAACTCAGCAGCTGGGGAAGGGATGGGGCCCGGTTCCCCCTCAGTGGCCAGGTCTGAGGCCTCAGCCTCTCTGAGCCGTGCCCCTCGGCCCTCCCTTCCCACCAGGGTAGGGTCCTGCGCCTCCGGTGCGGTACCCTCCCCGAGGTCAGGGTGCAGTGCCCCTCGCCGGCTCTGGCTACGGGTCACAACCAGGGCGGTCTGGGGCTTGCTTGGCCAGTCCTCTAGGTCTCCCCCCATCAAAACTTCAGTGGGCAAATGGTGGTGTACCCCCACATCCTTGTGGCCCTCCTTGGCCCCCCATTTCAGGTGTACCCTTGCCACGGGCACCTTAAATGGGGTCCCGCCCACCCCTGTCAGGGTCAGGTAGGTGTTGGGCACCACCCGATCTGGGGCCACCACCTCGGGCCGGGCCAGCGTCACCTCCGCACCCGTATCCCAGTATCCATTGACCTTCCTCCCATCCACCTCCAGGGGAACAAGGCACTCTCTCCGGAGGGACAGCCCCGCGCCCACCCTGTAAACTGAGCGCCCTGAGTCCAGAGCCTCCAGCCCTCTGGTGGAGCTGGCCTGGGGTACTCTTCCCTCCGGGGCAGGTGGTAAACTGGCAGCCCCCCTTGCCTGGGTCGTCTGCCCCTCGTCCAGCTGGGTCCCTACCCAGTTAACCCTGGGTAGGTTGGGTCTGCTCAGTTTGTCCCTGAGCCCAGGGCACTGGGACCGTACGTGGCCTCTCTGGCCACAGTGATAGCAGCTCAGGTCACGTTGGTCCCCTCGAGCGGGTCGGAGGGGCCCGACGCCAGGCGTTCCCCTTGGGAGGGGGTTCTCCCTATTTCCCCGCTGGGAGGCCCCCTGGTGACTCTCTCTCTGCATCGGGGGGGGCCTGTTCTTTTGGGACTCCTCCCGGCTACCCCCTGACCGACTGTTCACAAACTCGTCGGCCAGCTGCCCTGCGTGCTGGGGGTTCTCGAGCTTTTTGTCCACCAACCACAGCCTCAGGTCGGAAGGGCACTGTTCATACAGCTGCTCCAGTACGATTAGGTCAAGCAGGTCCTCTTTAGCTCGGGCCCCAGCTGTCCACTTGCGGGCATACCCCTGCATCCGGTTGACCAGTTGTAGGTAGGTGACCTCAGGCGTTTTACGCTGACTCCGGAACCTTCTCCGGTACATCTCGGGGGTCAGCCCAAACTCACGGAGCAGGGCCTGTTTGAACAGTTCATAGTCCCCTGCCTCCGGCCCTGTCATCCGGCTGTACACCTCCACGGCTTTGGGGTCCAGTAAGGGGGTGAGAAACTGGAGCCTGTCTGCAGGGTCAACCCTGTGCAGCTCACAGGCATTCTCAAAGGCCGTCAGGAAGCTATCTATGTCCTCCCCCTCCTTACGCTGGGCCAGGAAGCACTTATCAAAGTTCCTTGCAGTCTTGGGTCCCCCCTCACTCACCACAGCCGGGGCCCCACTGCTCTTCAGCCTGGCCAGCTCCAGTTCGTGCTGTCTTTGTTTCTCCTTCTCCTCCTGCTCATGTTGACGTTGTTTCTCCTCATGTTGACGTTGTTTTTCACGATCCTCCAGCTCCCTCATTTTCATCTCCCTCTCCCATTCCAGCCGCCTCCGCTCCAGGGATGGGGAGCTCCGCCGGGAGGATCCCCTGCTGGGTGCTGGGGTCAGGGTGCCCTCGGTATTCGCTGGGCTTCCCCCAACCCCTCCCCCAGACATAGGTAGGAAGGGTCTCGGGATGTCCTCGGCAGCAGTCTGACCCCTCCCAGCCCGGTCAGGCCCCAGGGCCCACGCTGCGTCTGCCGGGCGGCTCCCCTCAGGGACAGGGATCGGGTCATCCAAGCGATCCCTCTCCTCCAACTGGGCAATCAGTTGTTCCTTGGTGGACCTCCCGATGCGCAGCCCCCCTCTGCCTGCACAGCTCCACCAGGTCACTCTTAAGGCGTTTAGCGTACATCTCCCTGCTGGCCACTCGCAGGCCGGGCAGCTTCCCACGGTTTCCAGGAAAAGCCCTTAGTGTGCCAGTCCTTCTTGAGGTCACCACCTCTTTGCCAGGGTCGAGCTGCAGACTCCTCCGCCCCTGGGACTGCTCGCTGCAATCCCCGGGGGACCCTGTTACTGCAAAAGTCTTTCTCTCTGGTCACACATTCCCAGGGGTTAACCGCCCCCTGAAACCGTCTCTCTCTGAATCTTCAGCACGCCTGGTCCCCGTCAATTCCCCTTCGTTTTACTGTTCCCCAGTCACTTACTGCAGGAAGCGCCGTTCACGGGGTGCAGTAGATCCCACCGCTGCCACCAGTTGTCACGGAGTGTGGGGGAGTCCAGGCCCTGCACCCCTCTTCCTGGGATCCACTGAGACTCTCAGCCAGCCAGTAAAACAGAAGGTTTATTGGACAACAGGAACACAGTCCACAACAGAGCTTGTGGGTACAACCAGGACCCCTCAATCACGTCCTTCTGGGGGAGCAGGGAGCTTAGACCCCAGCCCTGGGGTTCCCTGTGTTCCTCCCCCCAGCCTCCAAACTGCCAACTAACCCCACCCAGCAGGTTCCCTCCTGCAGCCTCTGTTCACATTCCTGGGCAGAGGTGTTACCTCCCCCTCCCCCTCCTGGCTCAGCTGACAGGCTCTCAGGTCTCCCATCCCCAGGGCACATTCCCAGGTCAACACTCCCCCCTCCCTGCTGAGTCACATCGTCACACCCACCACCTAGAGACTCAAGAACTGCATAGGGGAAACCGAGGCACCCCCGCAATGCTCGGAGGAAACATCAAGAACAGGCCCACTTCGTCACATCTCTCCCCCCTTCGAGATTGAACTGAGCGGGGTCAATTTACCCGGTGACCTGGTGAAGTTCGAAGCCACCAATGTTCCCATGGATGCCCCAGCATCTCTCCCATTCCTTGGTAGGAGTTACACCAGGCCCTTCCAGTTTCACGCCCTCCCTTAGGTCGGGGGTGGTCAATAGCACTAGCAGGCTGCATGTGGGAAGGTTTCTGCAGCCCATGCCCTTTGGCCACCCCAAAAACCCCAGGGGGTCAAACTGGGATTGGGTTTTCTCCCAGAGCTCCAGTCTGGAGGGCTGCAATTCGGGCTCTCTTGGTTAAGGGCCCCCATCTTGACCTGGGCCACATACTGTTCACTTACAGAACTAGCATGGAGACATCCCTTTCTCCACAACCTTGTCTCCCCAACAAGCTGGCCAAACACAGCCACTTGGTTATAGGACGGTATACCTTTCTTAACAGCTTTCACTCCATCTGAGACCTTCTCAAAGCTCTCCACACTGGATCTTTCAACAGGAAAGTCAGTGGACCCATTCACAACAGAAAATTTCTGGCTGTTAGGAACTGAAACTTTCTTGATTAAATCATTTTCACACCCTTCAGTTGCAGTAAACTGCTTGCAAAGACTCCATGAGGATTCCTTTCCCAAGGGCTTTTCTATGCAACAATTCACCCCTCCCAGAAATTCTGCTCTTACCCTCTTTACCTAGGGCTTGCTCTAGGGGAACACTTTCCTGAGCAACTACAGACTCTTTCTGGGTCTCCCTTACATCCAGAATCACCTCTGGCCCATCAGGCGGATTCCTACACAATCCCCTTTCAGGCAAACTTACAGGCTTCCTAGATAACAGGTCAGAAGCATTCTCCTTCCCTTTGCCACACACAAGTTCAGGAATCTTTTCCTTCTTGCTACAGGTTTCCACACCCTCAGTAGGTAACACAATCACATCACCTTCATGCTCTCCTTGTGCCCTGGCTAGGATCTCACCCTGATTAGACAGAGTTGCTACACCCTTTCCCAACAACACACTAGCAACAGGCAAAATACAAGCACCAGAATTGTCTGGTCTCGGGGATTTTACATAGACCCTAACTGGATGCGACCTAGTTACAGGGCCATTCTCCCGAGCAGGAGACCCTTCCCTTCCTGGGCTTTAGCTGAATCCAGAACCAGCTCTGAGACAACTGCACGACCCTCAACCATCACAGGCTGAAAGGCCCCTTCTGTCTGCTCCACAGACCAAGAAGAGCCGGACACACTTTCTCCTTTACCAGACACACAGGTTGGGATCTCATTCCCTTTGTCCCAGCACACAAGGCTGGTCACAGACAACTGCTTGGAGATCAGGGTAGCTCCCTCCAAGTCAATACCCCTGACAGACAGAGACCCATTTCCTTCACTGTCCCAATTCTCCACCCAGCTAACAGGTAAGGTCCAGGGACTCTCATCTTCCACTCTCCTCGCCTTCCCACCCTGCTGACTGGACACAGCCATCAGCTCACAAGGCTGCCTAGGCTCATCCAAACTTCCCTTACCAAGCACCTTGCCACTCCCCACAGATCCCCTGCCCTGCCTGTGTCTCCCCCCCACTCAGCTGGGGTCTCAGCTCCCACTGTGCTCAGCGCTGCCCTTGCTGTCCCAGTGGGGGCAGGCCACTGCTTTCCTCAATGCCTCAGAGCCAGCGAGAGTCCCCAGTCTGGTGTGCAAGGGGGCAGGGAGCATCTCTCTGTCCCACCCAGCCCCAGGGGTCTGGTTACAGGCAGGCAGGTAGCCTGAGCCTAGCGGCTCCTCCCTGCTGCCAGCCAGGTCATCTGCATTTTCACTGACCATTCCCTCTCTGCCGATTGGTTCCCTGGATTCAAATTCAAACCCTTGGCAGTTACAGGAACAGGGCCTGGATCCTGTCCCAAAGAGACACAGTCACCCCACAACAGGGTCTCGCAGCTGGTGTCCTGGAGCACCCCAACGACCAGCCAGCCCCACCCCTCCTGGGTCTGCACGGGGATCTGGGCCATAGGCAGGGCGAGGGGCTTCGTCCCTGGGACCCTCACCCAGCTCACACAGCCCCTCAGCATCTGAGGCTGCACCACCCGGGGCCTGACACCAGTTCTCTCTGTCCCAGGATCTCGCCACCCCAGGAATGTCTCCCCATTGACCATCCCCTTCTGCTCCCACTGGGGGTCCGAGGGGCCTGGCCCCAGGAAACTCCACACAGACATATAGGTCAGGAGTGGGAGCGTGTCCACCTCCCCACCCATCTGGCTGATGGAGTCTGTGGCCTTGGGACCCAGCAAGGGAGCTAGACACCGGGGCTTTTCCGCAGGGTCCCCCTGGTTCAAATCGCCAGCCTGCTCAAAGGCAGTGAGGTGGGCATCCACACACCCCCCCTCCTTGGTGCTGCAGATGTAGAAGATCTATGCTCAACTCTTTTTCCATCTTGGAGCCGCCTCCTCAATGAATAGGTCCTGTGCCTGCCTCTGTTGTTCCTTAGTGCTTTCCTGCAAGGCCTCTGCCTTCTCTGCAATCAAGTCCCAGCTTAAGACCCACTTCTGCTGCAATGCCTTTGACATTTGATTTATCCTATTCCCCCCACTCCCATCTCAGTTCAAGAATGCAGCAAGCCTTCACTCCATTCAGTCATTTGAGGAAAAGGAACCTCTCTGTGTTTCTCCCCGGGCCAAGCTGCAGGCTCCTCCGCCCTGAGATTGCTCACTGCAGTCCCCAGGGGGACCCCATTACTGCACAGTCCTTCTCGCTGGTCACACACTCCCAGGGGTTAACCGCCCCCCCGAAACCGCTCCTCTCTGAGTCTTCAGCACGTCTGGTCCTCGTCAATCCCCCTGCGTGTTACTGCTCCCCAGTCACTTACTGCAGGAAGCGCCGTCCACGGGGTACAGTAGAATCATAGAATCATAGAATCATAGAATATAAGGGTTGGAAGGGACCCCAGAAGGTCATCTAGTCCAACCCCCTGCTCAAAGCAGGACCAATTCCCAGTTAAATCATCCCAGCCAGGGCTTTGTCAAGCCTGACCTTAAAAACCTCTAAGGAAGGAGATTCTACCACCTCCCTAGGTAACGCATTCCAGTGTTTCACCACCCTCTTAGTGAAAAAGTTTTTCCTAATATCCAATCTAAACCTCCCCCACTGTAACTTGAGACCATTACTCCTCGTTCTGTCATCTCCTACCATTGAGAACAGTCTAGAGCCATCCTCTTTGGAACCCCCTTTCAGGTAGTTGAAAACAGCTATCAAATCCCCCCTCATTCTTCTCTTCTGCAGGCTAAACAATCCCAGCTCCCTCAGCCTCTCCTCATAACTCATATGTTCCAGACCCCTAATCATTTTTGTTGCCCTTCGCTGGACTCTCTCCAATTTATCCACATCCTTCTTGAAGTGTGGGGCCCAAAACTGGACACAGTACTCCAGATGAGGCCTCACCAATGTCGAATAGAGGGGAACGATCACGTCCCTCGATCTGCTCGCTATGCCCCTACTTATACATCCCAAAATGCCATTGGCCTTCTTGGCAACAAGGGCACACTGCTGACTCATATCCAGCTTCTCGTCCACTGTCACCCCTAGGTCCTTTTCCGCAGAACTGCTGCCTAGACATTCGGTCCCTAGTCTGTAGCTGTGCATTGGGTTCTTCCGTCCTAAGTGCAGGACCCTGCACTTATCCTTATTGAACCTCATCAGATTTCTTTTGGCCCAATCCTCCAATTTGTCTAGGTCCTTCTGTATCCTATCCCTCCCCTCCAGCGTATCTACCACTCCTCCCAGTTTAGTATCATCCGCAAATTTGCTGAGAGTGCAATCCACACCATCCTCCAGATCATTTATGAAGATATTGAACAAAACCGGCCCCAGGACCGACCCTTGGGGCACACCACTTGATACCGGCTGCCAACTAGACATGGAGCCATTGATCACTACCCGTTGAGCCCGACAATCTAGCCAGCTTTCTACCCACCTTGTAGTGCATTCATCCAGCCCATACTTCCTTAACTTGCTGACAAGAATACTGTGGGAGACCGTGTCAAAAGCTTTGCTAAAGTCAAGAAACAATACATCCACTGCTTTCCCTTCATCCACAGAACCAGTAATCTCATCATAGAAGGCGATTAGATTAGTCAGGCATGACCTTCCCTTGGTGAATCCATGCTGGCTGTTCCTGATCACTTTCCTCTCATGCAAGTGCTTCAGGATTGATTCTTTGAGGACCTGCTCCATGATTTTTCCAGGGACTGAAGTGAGGCTGACTGGCCTGTAGTTCCCAGGATCCTCCTTCTTACATCCCACCGCTGCCACCAGTTGTCACGGAGTCCCTGGGCGATGCTCTGGAACTGCTCCCCATGAAGCCAGTCAGGACTCTGGGGCAGTCGCCTTTCTGTGAGCAGCCTGTCTTCAGGACACGCAGCTCACACAGGTTCCACCTTCCTGGGTCTGACCTCGGAGCATTCAGCATCCTCTGCCCCTCCGTGCGCTTCCCACAGCGAGTCCGCTCAGGCGGGGCTCCTGGGGAAGCCAGAGGGTCCTGCACCCCAACTTCGCAGTCAGACGTGACTCTCAGCCAGCCAGTAAAACAGAAGGTTTATTAGACGACAGGAACATGGTCTAAAACAGAGCTTGCAGGTGCAGAGAACGGGACCCCTCAGCTGGGTCCATTCTGGGGGGCAGTGAGCCAGACAACCACGTCTGCACTTCACTCCATGTCCCAGCCAGCCCCAAACTGAAACTCCCTCCAGCCCCTCCTCCTCTGGGCTTTGTTCCTTTCCCCGGCCAGGTGGTCACCTGATTCCTTTGTTCTCCAACCCTTCAGCTCTCACCTTGCAGGGGGGGAAGGGCCCAGGCCATCAGTTGCCAGGAAACAGGGTGTCGGCCATTCTCTGTGTCCAGACCCCTGCACACACCTGCCCTCTAGGGCTCTGCAATGATCATACCCCCTTACCCCACCACCTAGAGACTCAAGAACTGCATAGGGGAAACCGAGGCACCCCCGCAATGCTCGGAGGAAACATCAAGAACAGGCCAGTTTCACGCCCTCCCTTAGGTCGGGGGTGGTCGATAGCACTAGCAGACTGCATGTGGGAAGGTTTCTGCAGCCCATGCCCTTTGGCCACCCCAAAACCCCAGGGGGTCAAACTGGGATTGGGTTTTCTCCCAGAGCTCCAGTCTGGAGGGCTGCAATTCGGGCTCTCTTGGTTAAGGGCCCCCATCTTGACCTGGGCCACATACTGTTCACTTACAGAACTAGCATGGAGACATCCCTTTCCCAACAACCTTGTCTCCCCAACAAGCTGGCCAAACACAGCCACTTGGTTATAGGACGGTATACCTTTCTTAATAGCTTTCACTCCATCTGAGACCTTCTCAAAGCTCTCCACACTGGATCTTTCAACAGGAAAGTCAGTGGATCCATTCACAACAGAAAATTTCTGGCTGTTAGGAACTGAAACTTTCTTGATTAAATCACTTTCACACCCTTCAGTGGCAGTAAACTGCTTGCAAAGACTCCATGAGGATTCCTTTCCCGAGGGCTTTTCTATGCAACAATTCACCCCCTCCCAGAAATTCTGCTCTTACCCTCTTTACCTAGGGCTTGCTCTAGGGGAACACTTTCCTGAGCAACTACAGACTCTTTCTGGGTCTCACTTACATCCAGAATTACCTCTGGCCCATCAGGCGGATTCCTACACAATCCCCTTTCATGCAAACTTACAGACTTCCTAGATAAAAGGTTAGAAGCATTCTCCTTCCCTTTGCCACACACAAGTTCAGGAATCTTTTCCTTCTTGCTACAGGTTTCCACACCCTCAGTAGGTTCCACAATCACACACCTTCCTGCTCTCCTTGTGCCCTGGCTAGGATCTCACCCTGATTAGACAGAGTTGCTACACCCTTTCCAACAACACACTAGCAACAGGCAAAATACAAGCACCAGAATTGTCTGGTCTCGGGGATTTTACATAGACCCTAACTGGATGCGACCTAGTTACAGGGCCATTCTCCCGAGCAGACAGAAACTTAGGACCCTTCCCTTCCTGGGCTTTAGCTGAATCCAGAACCAGCTCTGAGACAACTGCATGACCCTCAACCATCACAGGCTGAAAGGCCCCTTCTGTCTGCTCCACAGACCAAGAAGAGCCGGACACACTTTCTCCTTTACCAGACACACAGGTTGGGATCTCATTCCCTTTGTCCCAGCACACAAGGCTGGTCACAGACAACTGCTTGGAGATCAGGGTAGCTCCCTCCATAGGCAAGTCAATACCCCTGACAGACAGAGACCCATTTCCTTCACTGTCCCAATTCTCCACCCAGCTAACAGGTAAGGTCCAGGGACTCTCATCTTCCACTCTCCTCGCCTTCCCACCCTGCTGACTGGACACAGCCATCAGCTCACAAGGCTGCCTAGGCTCATCCAAACTTCCCTTACCAAGCACCTTGCCACTCCCCACAGATCCCCTGCCCTGCCTGTGTCTCCCCCCACTCAGCTGGGGTCTCAGCTCCCACTGTGCTCAGCGCTGCCCTTGCTGTCCCAGTGGGGGCAGGCCACTGCTTTCCTCACTGCATCAGAGCCAGCGAGAGTCCCCAGTCTGGTGTGCAAGGGGGCAGGGAGCATCTCTCTGTCCCACCGAGTCCCAGGGGTCTGGTTACAGGCAGGCAGGTAGCCTGAGCCTAGCGGCTCCTCCCTGCTGCCAGCCAGGTCATCTGCATTTTCACTGACCATTTCCCTCTCCACCGATTGGTTCCCTGGATTCAAATTCAAACCCTCGGCAGTTACAGGAGCAGGGCCTGGATCCTGTCCCAAAGAGACACAGTCACCCCACAACAGGGTCTCGCAGCTGGTGTCCTGGAGCACCCCAACGGCCAGCCAGCCCCACCCCTCCTGGGTCTGCACAGGGATCTGGGCCATAGGCAGGGCGAGGGGCTTCGTCCCTGGGACCCTCACCCAGCTCACACAGGCCCTCAGCCTCTGAGGCTGCACCACCCAGGGTCTGACACCAGTTCTCTCTGTCCCAGGATCTCGCCACCCCAGGAATGTCTCCCCATTGACCATCCCCTTCCGCTCCCACTGGGGGTCCGAGGGGCCTGACCCCAGGGAACTCCACACAGACATATAGGTTGGGGTCAGGAGTGGGAGCCTGTCCACCTCCCCACCCATCTGGCTGATGGAGTCTGTGGCCTTGGGACCCAGCAAGGGAGCTAGACACCGGGGTTTTCCGCAGGGTCCCCCTGGTTCAGATCTCCAGCCTGCTCAAAGGCAGTGAGGTGGGCATCCACACCCCCCCCCCTTAACTAGGGGCAGCAATTTAGTCTCGAGGTTCCCTGCGGAACTGGCCCCCCGGGATCTATCCCCACTCACCCCGGGGAGGTCCCCTCGGCCTCTCCGCCCCACCACCGCCAGTTCATCCTGCTGCTGCTTCTGCAGCTCTTTCTCGGGCTCTCGCTGTCTCCCACGGTCCTCTTGCTCTCTCAGACTCCGCTCCAATCCCGTCCGTCTCGATCCCCCGATGGGGAACCCGATCGTGAAGACCCTCGTCTGGTCGGGGACAGGAGTCTTGGCGATGCCTGGCTCCCGCTTCAGCTGCTCCCAGATCCTGCTATAGCCCCAGTTGGGGTCAGGAATCTGTTCCTTAGAGCGGTCATCCTCCTCCAGCTGCACGATTAACTCTGCTTTGGTGAACTTTCCAACGCTCAACCCTCTCTTTCTGCACAGGGTTACAATGTCCTTCTTAAGGAGACGGTGACAGGCCATCACTCCGCTCCTCCCAAGTTGTTGTGGACTCACAGGCCCGTGTGTTCTCAGCTCCCCACGGTTTCCAGGGAGAACCCCTAGTGTGCCAGCCCTTCTCGAGGTCACCACCTCTTTGCCAGGGTCGAGCTGCAGACTCCTCCGCCCCTTGGACTGCTCGCTGCAATCCCCAGGGGAACCCTGTTACTGCAAAAGTCCTTCTCTCTCCCCGGGCCAAGCTGCAGGCTTCTCCGCCCCTGAGACTGCTCACTGCAGTCCCCAGGGGGACCCCATTACTGCACAGTCCTTCTCGCTGGTCACACACTCCCAGGGGTTAACCGCCCCCCGAAACCGCTCCTCTCTGAGCCTTCAGCAGGCCTGGTCCTCGGCAATCCCCCTTCGTGTTACTGCTCCCCAGTCACTTACTGCAGGAAGCGCCATCCACGGGGTGCAGTACATCCCACCGCTGCCACCAGTTGTCACGGAGTCCCTGGGCGATGCTCTGGAACTGCTCCCCATGAAGCCAGTCAGGACTCTGGGGCAGTCGCCTTTCTGTGAGCAGCCTGTCTGCAGGACACACAGCTCACACAGCTTCCACCTTCCTGGGTCTGACCTCGGAGCCTTCAGCATCCTCTGCCCCTCCGTGCGCTTCCCCCAGCGAGTCCGCTCAGGCGGGGCTCCTGGGGAAGCCAGAGGGTCCTGCACCCCAACTCCGCAGTCAGACGTGACTCTCAGCCAGCCAGTAAAACAGAAGGTTTATTAGACGACAGGAACATGGTCTAAAACAGAGCTTGCAGGCGCAGAGAACGGGACCCCTCAGCTGGGTCCATTTTGGGGGGCAGTGAGCCAGACAACCACGTCTGCACTTCCCTCCATGTCCCAGCCAGCCCCAAACTGAAAACCCCTCCAGCCCCTCCTCCTCTGGGCTTTGTTCCTTTCCCGGGCCAGGTGGTCACCTGATTCCTTTGTTCTCCAACCCTTCAGCTCTCACCTTGCAGGGGGGAAGGGCCCAGGCCATCAGTTGCCAGGAAACAGGGTGTCGGCCATTCTCTGTGTCCAGATCCCTGCACACACCTGCCCTCTAGGGCTCTGCAATGATCATACACCCTTACCCCACCACCTAGATACTTAAGAACTGCATAGGGGAAACTGAGGCACCCCCACACTATTCAGAGGAAACATTAAGAACAGGCCCACTTCATCACAGCGGGGCACTAGCCTGCCGCGTGGGCACAGACAGGCCTTTTGAAGGCAGGCCGGGGACGGACGATCAGTCTCCCTCCTGGATCATCAACACCCCCCCCCGTTTATTTTTGCACCCCCTTTCCCCATCCTTCCCCGCTTGGGCAGCAATAACGTCAGAGCGCTGGGGGCTCAGCACCTCGCTGCGGGGTGCACCCCTCAGTGTATTCCCATCCCGCCTCCTCACCCCCCTTCCCTGTCCCTCTTCAGGGGCCTCCTCCCCAGCAGCTTCTCACCCAGGAGCTGCCGGCCCGGCTGTGGGCTGGGGCGGTGGAGGCGGTTGCCCCGGAGCGGAGAGCAAAGGGATTCTTCTCCTGCTGTTTCCTTGTTCCCAAGGTGAAGGGGGGTCTACGGCCAACCCTAGACCTGCGTCGACTCCCCGCGTCTCTCAGGAAGGTGAGATTCCGTCCGGCCTCCCTCGTCCCCTCGCTAGATCCAGGCACTGGGATGCCGCCCTCGATTTGAAGGACACGTATTTTCATATCTCCTTTTTCCGGGGACTCAGGCGCTTCCTTGGGTTCGCGGTGGGCCACGCTCGTTACCAGTTCACTGTGCTTCCCTTTGGCCTTTTGGTGGCCCCGCGAGGCTTCACACCGTGCAGGGCGGTGGTCACGGCCCACCTCAGACCTACCCGTCCCTGGAGGAGCGGGTGATAAAGGGGGACGCGGAAGGTCACGTCCAGCCAGCATCCCGGGGGTACAGCCCGAGCCGGCATCATTTGGACCCTATCCTCACCTTCCAGTCTCAGTCCCGGCTTCCCTCAAGTGGGGATTGTGGCCGCGTGTGCCGATTTCTCTCCCAGTGTATCCACCGGGCTGGCTCTGGCGTCCCCGGAGCGCTCACGCGTCGGTCCCTGTGCCCTCTCGCTTCCTTCTCACCGAACTCCGGGGCAGGAGGGCGGGTTTGGGCGCGGGCAACGCGTCCCGAGGAACAAGCTACGAGAGGCCGGGAACCGAGTGCTGGCTCGTGTCGACTCCATTCCCGGTGACTCACAAGCAGCATCCCCAGAGGAGGCTCAGAGCTCACGGGCCTGCCGATCACGACACAGCTCTCCCGAAGCCGGTGCCATCCCTGGCTTGGTGGCTGATGGCGTCATGGGAAGTGAACCTCTGGATCGAGGCGACGTCGCAGCCCTGAAAATGTCCTGGATCGGAACCGGTGCCAGGAAGGCTGCGGAAAACCCTTGCACTCTCGTAAAACGGGCCTTTGCGATGGTTGGAGGCAGGATCTTTGCCTGCTCGTAGCCCGCCCGGATGCGGGCCCTGATCCCTATGGGACCTTTCATTCTACCCGCGACTGTGACAAACAGCTGCGTCGATCTGTGGAAGGGGCTCGTCCGGTCAATATAAAAGGCTAGGGCCCTTCTCACGTCCAGAGAGTGCAGGCGTCTTTCCGCCTCTGACTCATGCGGCTCTGGGAAGAAGACCGGCAGAACAATGTCTGGCTTGACATGGAACAGCGAGACCACCTTGGGTAGGAAGGCTGGCGGGGGATGCAGCTGGACCTTGTCCGAAAAGAAACCGTATAGGGAGGCCCCGAGGTAAAGGCCTGAAGCCCTGAGACTCTCCTGGCCGGAGTGATTGCCACCAGGAAAGCGACCTTCACGAGAGGAGCAGCAAGGAGCAGGATGCAGGGCTCGAATGGAGGCCTCGTGAGCCTAGACAGGACCAGGTTTAGGGCCCACGGTGGGATCGGACCTGTGGATGGACCTGTGGATGGAGCCTCTCCAACCCTTTAACGACCCTGCTTGTCACCTCCCGGGCCGAGACCAATCTGCCTCAGATGGGGGGATGGGACGCAGAGATGGCCGCCAGGTGGACCCTGGCTGAAGGCAGTGATCGGCCGGGCTGCTCCAGGCGCAGGAGATATTCCACGATGGATGGCCAGGACGCCGGCAATGGGCACAGGTTCTGCTCGACTGCACGGCAAGAGAAGCGTTTCCACTTAGCCAGGTCGGCGGCCCTGGTCACCTGGCGGAGTTGGCTGGACCTGCTCAGAGCCTGCTCCCTCCGCCGGGTTTAGCCATGCGGCCGCCACGCCGTCAAGGGCAGGGCTGCTCGAGACAGATGGAGCAGGCGCCCGTGGTCCTGAGACAGCAAATCCGGTCTGAGGGGGGCATCCACGGGGCTGCTACCATGAGATCCCGGAGCATGCCGAACCAATGCCGGCGCGGCCAGGCTGCAGCGATCAGAACGCCCCTTGCCTTGTCCCCCTGGATCTCCAGGAGACCCTTGTGAACGAGGGGAACCGGAGGGAGAGCGTGCGGTCGCCGCCCGACCGTGACTGTAGGAAAGCGTCCGAGAGCCCCTGCCGTGACCGAGCCTCGCGCAAAAGAGGTGACAATTTCTTGCTCCGTGCGGCGGCCAGCAGGTCCCCTGGGGAGTCCCCCGCCTCTGGAAGACGGCGCTGGGGACCTGAGGGCGGAGAGACCACTCATGGTGAGAGGAGAAGGACCTGCTGAGTCGACCGGCGAATAGGTCCCACTCCCCGGGGAGGTGCGACGCCCCCGGATGGGCCGAGTGTTTCACGCAGAACTCCCCCAGCCCGGGGCTTGAGGGCCCTGCCGCGGGCGCCCCGCCGGCTGACAGAGAACAGGGCGGCTGCTCTGGCCGTTAGCACGGGCCCGTTCGGGCCGGAGAGCGGCGGGAGGAACACCTCGCGGGCCAAGCTATCGCTCTGAGCTCCGACGTCTGCGTGCCAGGAGATCTCATCCCGTGACCTTGGGCCCGGAGGTGTCCGAGGGGGGCTCCCGACCCCACCTCCGACGCACCCGACACCAGCGTTGCCACGGCCGCGGGTACTGGACTGGCGCTCCGGCGAGGGCCGAAGGCGGGTCTGATCCTGTCATGGAGTCCCCGGGCGATGCTCTGGAACTGCTCCCTGCGAAGCCAGTCAGGACTCTGGGGAAGTCTCCTCTCTGGGAGCAGCCTGTCTGCAGGACACAGAGCTCACCCGGCTTCCACCTTCCTGGGTCTGACCTCGGAGCATTCAGCATCCTCTGCCCCTCCGTGCGCTTCCCCCAGCGAGTCCGCCCAGGCGGGGTCCTGGGGAAGCCAGAGGGTCCTGCCCCCCAACTCCACAGTCAGACGTGACTCTGAGCGAGCCAGTAAAACAGAAGGTTTATTGACGACAGGAACACAGTCTAAAACAGAGCTTGTAGGTGCAGAGAGCAGGACCCCTCAGCTGGGTCCATTTTGGGGGGCAGTGAGCCAGAGAACCCCCTCTGCACTTCACTCCATGTCCCAGTCATCCCCAAACTGAAACTCCCTCCAGCCCCTCCTCCTCTGGGCTTTGCCCCTTTCCCGGGACAGGAGGGCACCTGATTCCTTTGTTCTCCAACCCTTTAGCTCTCACCTTGCAGGGGGGAAGGGCCCAGGCCATTAGTGGCCAGGAAACAGGGTGTCGGTCATTCTCTGTGCCCAGACCCCTGCACACACCTGCTGTCTAGGGCTCTGCAACGATCATACACCCTTACCCCACTCCCTAGATACTTAAGAACTGCCTAGGGGAAACTGAGGGACCCCCACACTATTCAGAGGAAACATTAAGAACAGTCCCACTTCGTCACAGGGTGTCTGCGAAAAGTGGTGGTTATTGCTACCAAACTGCAGCCCGTGATTTTCTTACAGCCTTTCCCAGGGCCAGAGTCGGGGCTGCCCACTGCGGGCCCTATGCAGGAATGTCCCCCCAACACTAAAACAGGCCAGTTCTTGCAATAAGAGGTGAACGGGGGGGGCCTCTTGAGCTGCTCAGGGCCCTACGCAATTGCTTAGGCTAGGTCTACACTTACAATTGAACGACAAACTTTTGTCATTCACAGGAACTTAACACCCCCCCCCGCCCCGCCCGAAAGACAAAAGTTTTGCCGCTGCAAGTGCCTGTGTGAACGCCCGCGTTGCGGCAGGAGCGCTCTCCTGTGGGCACCGTGAGCCCCGCGCGTTGGGGGTGGAAGTATTTTGTCAGCAAAAGTGCTGACAAAGAGCATTCACACTGCCTGACTTTTAGCGATAGGGTCGTGTCCCTCAAGACTATGTCGTGCAGACATGGCCTTCGTCTGCTTCTGCCCAGTGCTGGCTCTGTCCCAGCGCTGAATCCACACCAGCCAGCCAGCCAGCAGCGATTTGTGGAACGAGGGAGACGGTCACAAGGGGGCAGCATGGGCTAGAGCGAGAGGGGGTGGGGTGGGACTCAGGACTCCTGGGTTCTATCCACAGCTCTAAGAGGGGAGTGGGGCCTAGGACTGGAGAATTGCTAACACGGAGGGCACCAGAACCTTTGTAGAAGGGGGGGCATGGCCCCCCGGCACCCCAGTTCTGGCGTTGTTGGTGGGAGGGGGAAGAGGAGCAGCCTGTACTAGGAGGCGGTGAGGTTGGCTGGGGCAGACCCCCACGCCCTGGGAATTCACCTTGCTGAGAGAGGCAGGGTCTGAGCCAGCACCGCAGGAGCCCCAGGGAGGGGCAGGGGGAAGTCTGTCTTGAGAGTTTAGACTGCGTGCTTATATTTTCTTTTGTTTTCTTTTGGTAACCACTCTGACTTTTTGCCTATCACTTATAATCACTTAAAATCTATCTTTTATCATCAATAAATTTGTTTAACTGTTTATCTTTACCAGTGAGTTTGCCTGAAGTGTGGTAAATCAGCTCAGATTTACAAAGGCTGGTGTATGTCCACTCTCCATTGATGAGGTGGTGAACCAATTAAGAAATTTGCACAGCTTGTCCTGAGCAGTGCAGGACGGAATATTCCTGAGGTACAGTGATGGGAGCCCGGGGGATTCGGCTGATGCCTTTCTCTGTGTGATTCGTGAGTGGCTCTGGGAGCATTCACGCAGTCTAGGCGGGTGTGGGGCTCCACATGCGGGTGTGCTGAGTGATCACAGCGCCTGGAGGGGTTTGCTGCTTGTCACTAGCAGGGCATTGTGACAGACAGCCCAGGCTGGAGAGATAAAGGGGCACAGCAGTCCCACAGTCCCAGGCTGCACCCCGGGGATCCCGTCACACCTACCTTGTAAGAGGAGACTCAAAGAACTTGGCTTGTTTAGCCTAACCAAAGAAGGCTGTGGGGAGATATGATTGCACTCTATAAATACATCAGAGAGATAAATACCAGAGCGAAAGAGGAGTTATGTAAGTTAAACGCCAATGTGGACACAAGAATAAACGGATACAAACTGGCCATCAACAAGTTTAGGCTTGAAATTAGGCGAAGGTTTCTAACCATCAGAGGGGTGAAGTTCTGGAGCAGCCTCCCGAGGGGAGCAGTGGGGGCAAAACACCGAACTGGCTCCAGGACTGAGCTTGGTGAGTTTATGGAGGGGATGGGATGATGAGACTGCCTACTGTGACATGTGGCCCATCGGCCACTGCTAATAGCAAAAATCCCCAAGGGCCGGTGATGGGGCACTGGCTGGGGAGGGCTCTGAGTTACTACAGGGAATTCTCTCCCAGGAGTCTGGCTGGCGGTTCTCACCCACATGCTCAGGGTCTAACCGATCACCATGTTTGGGATCAGGAAGGAATTTCCCCCCAGGTCAGATTGGCAGATTTTTGCCTTCCCCGGCTGCATGGGGCGCGGGTCACTGGCAGGTTTAAACTAGAGTGAAGGTGCAGTCTCTGTTACTTGACGTCTCTAAACCATGATTTGAGGCTGTCAGTTACCCAGCCAGAGGCTCGGGGTCTGTTACAGGAGTGGGTGGGTGAGTTTCTGTGGCCTGTGATGTACAAGAGGCCAGGCTAGATGATCACGGTGGTCCCTTCTGGCCTTTGAGTCTATGAGCAAGATGGGGAGCCAGGACTCCTGGGTTCTATCCCCAGCTTGGGGAGCAGAATGGGGTCTAGTGGGTGAGAGCAGGGGGAGCTGGGAGCCAGGACTCCTGGGTTCTATCCTGGATCTAAGAGGGAAATAATGTCTGGTGGGTAGAGCAGGGGATGTCTAGGAGCCAGGACTCCTGGCTTCCCCTCACACACTTCATCTGTGCTTTCTAACGCAGAGGAATGAGGCCTGAGTGACCAAACGGTTCCAGGCTGGAGGGGAATTGAGGTGGCTGGTTGGTGTGTGGGGGGCGGGGTATAGCGCCTTTCCCCTCTAGGGGTACCAGCTCCAGTCCAGCCCCAGTGTGGGGAGACAGGCTGGCGGGGCGGGTTGGGGCGGGGAGGGGGAGAGAAAAGTTGTCGTTCCCCCCTCCCCGCCCCCCGCTCTCCTGCTGGTAATAGCTCACCTTACCTGATCACTCTGGTTACAGTGTGTCTGGTTACACCCATTGTTTCCTGTTCTCTGTGTATATAAAATCTCCCCACTGTATTTTCCACTGAATGCATCCGATGAAGTGAGCTGTAGCTCATGAAAGCTTATGCTCAAATAAATTTGTTAGTCTCTAAGGTGCCACAAGTCCTCCTTACCTTTTGTAGTGATAATCAAGGTGGGCCATTTCCAGCAGTTGACAAGAACGTCTGAGCAATAGTAGGAAGGAGGGGGGAATAAACCTGGGGAAATAGTTTTACTTTGTGTAATGACCCATCCACTCCCAGTCTTTATTCAAGCCTAAGTTAGGTGTATCCAGTTTGCAAATTAATTCCAATTCAGCACTCTCTCATTGGAGTCTGTTTTTGAAGTTTTTTTGTGAAGAATTGCCACTTTTAGGTCTGTAATCGCGTGACCAGAGAGATTGAAGTGTTCTCCGACTGGTTTTTGAATGTTATAATTCTTGACGTCTGGTTTGTGTCCGTTTATTCTTTTACATAGAGACTGTCCAGTTTGGCCAACGTACATGGCAGAGGGGCATTGCTGGCCCATGATGGCATAGATCACATTGGTGGATGTGCAGGTGAACGAGCCTCTGATAGTGTGGCTGATGTGATTAGGCCCTATGATGGTGTCCCCTGAATAGATCTGTGGACACAGTTGGCAACAGGCTTTATTAGACGACAGGAACACGGTTTAAAACAGAGCTTGCAGGTACAGAGAACAGGACCCCTCAGCCGGGTCCATTTGGGGGGCAGTGAGCCAGACAACCCCATCTGCCCTTCACTCCTCGTCCCCAACCAGCCCCAAACTGAAACTTCCTCCAGCCCCTCATCCTCTGGGCTTTGTCCCTTTCCCGGGCCAGGAATTCACCGGATTCCTTTGTTTTCCAACCCTTTAGTTGGTTTCAGAGTAGCAGCCGGGTTAGTCTGTATCCGCAAAAAGAAAAGGGGTACTTGTGGGACCTTAGATACTAACAAATTTATTTGAGCATAAGCTTTTGTGAGCTACAGCTCACTTCATCGGACCCTTTAGCTCTCACCTTGCAGGGGGGAAGGGCCCAGGCCATCAGGTGCCAGGAGACAGAGTGTCGGCCATTTATGTACCCTGGCCCTTTGCTCTGCAACAATTACACCCCCTTATCCCACCACCTGGAGACATAAGAAAAGCCTAGGGGAAACTGAGGCACCCACACAATATTCAGAGAAAACATTAAGAACAGTCCCACTTTGTCACACCTGTCTGTTGCAATGGCTGTTTGCCTCAGCAGGGACGAGTGGGACCTGCCAGCAGCCCGTGCTCTGCGTGCCCTGGGCTCTGCGCTCTCCTTACCCTAAGGACAGGTGACGCAGGGCCCTTCTCCCTCTCCACTGGCCCCGCCATGGGGTTGCCTGGCCCGGGGGAACCGCACAGCCAGGGCCACTTCCCCTCTGAGCCGTGGAACCTGCCAGCTTCTCCTTTTCACTTCCCCCAAGGCTGGACTCTGCCCAGCGCGGGGCTGCTGCGGAGGAACCGAAACCCCGGGCGTCTGCAGCGTCGCTCGACCCCAGCACTGAGACGCTGGACCCGGGGTCGGCCTCACGGTGCTGGGGGCTTCCCTCATGGAGAGCTGGCCCGATCCAGCCCCAGTCTCAGTCGGGGTCTGTGCAGCACCTGGCACAAGAGGGCCCTGATCTCTGCTGAGGGAATCTGGAGGTGCCTGGCGCAAGGGTGGGGAGCTCAGTTTCGGTCTGGGGTGTATGTACAGCACCCGGCACAACAGAGATCCCAGTCTGAGTCGGGGGCCCCAGACCCCACTGTACTAGAAATAATTTATACAAGAACGAGGGACAGTCAGTGAAATTGAAAGGTGGCTAGTTGAAAGCTGGGAAAAGGAAATACGTGCTATTGGCCTCTGGAACTCACTGCCACAAGATCTCACTGGGGCCAAGAGCTCAGCAGATTCACACAAAAACTGGAGGTTTGTAAGGATGGTGGATGCCTGCAGTAAGGGGTTAATGGGCGTGTGGGACAAGATCTACCCCCAGCTGTGTCAGCACAGGAGCTGAGCTCTAGCTACTGGGGCAGGTCCCCTGGGGCAGGTTATCCCGTCCCTGCGGGGTTCCTGCCCCTCCCCCTGGACCCGCTGGGACTGGCCCCGCTCAGAGACAGGAGACCAGGTTAGACAGGTCCCGGGGCTGAGCCACTCTGGGGATCCCTGCCCCTCGAGAGAGCCGTTGACATCAGACGCCTGCAGTTGCCCAAACGCCCCAGGCCCAAAGCCCAGCGCGTGGGCTCGGACTCCGGGGCTGGGTCACAGGAAGGTTCTTGTCCAGGCATCGCAGGGCTGGCAGGGCTGGCTGGGCCGGCAAAACCCTTCAGGGCACCAATCAGAGACCAGGCGGGAATTGTGGCTACTAACCGGCTGCCCTGGGCCCAAATCTGGGTTTGGTCTGACTGGGGCAGGTGGCCACGGAGCCAAAGGGGGCTGGATCGGAACTGGTGCCCCGCAGAGGGGAAAGGCCCAATGGCCCATTCCCACCCCTGAGCCAGCCCTCCACCCCCCGCCCCGGGGCTGCATGGACCCCAGCTGGGATCGGGGCCGTGTTGTGCCGGGCGCTGCCCAGACACACGGGCGCTGCCCTCGGGAGGTTGCAGCCGAAGACAGCAAGACAAAGGGGGGTCACCAGCCCCAGAGTGAGGGATTGACCCCAGTGCACACAGCACAGTAGTGATGAAGGTGGGAACTGAACCCAGGAGTCCTGGCTCCCAGCCCCTCCCGCCCTGTAACCCACCAGACCCCCACATAGAACCCAGGAGTCCTGGCTCCCAGCCCCTCCCTCCTCTAATGCACCAGACCCCACACAGAACCCAGGAGTCCTGGCTCCCAGCCCCTCCCTCCTCTAACCCACCAGACCCCACACGGAACCCAGGAGTCCTGGCTCCCAGCCCCTCCCTCCTCTAACCCACCAGACCCCACACGGAACCCAGGAGTCCTGGCTCCCAGCCCCTCCCTCCTCTAACCCACCAGACCCCACACGGTACCCAGGAGTCCTGGCTCCCAGTCCCTGTGGAGGGGGCCTCACTGGCTGTCCTGGGGCGAGCTGGGTGCTGAGCGGGGCTGGGTGGGGGGGCTCAGAGTGACCCAGGCCGGGGGAGGGGAGGTGTCAGGGCTGGCCTGAGCCCGCGGGGGGGTGAGTGGGGTGGGTGTGAGGCTGCGGCTGGAGGAGCCACTGCCCCATCCCCAGCCCCGCTCCCGCCTGTCACCCAGCCCAGCCCGCCTGGCTGCTCCTCAACCTGCCCCATAGCAGCCCAGCATGGCCAGAATCTGCCGGAGACCGATGACGCTGCCCGGAGCCGCGTGCTGATTGGCCGGGAGATGGGGGTTACTCGAGTTCAAGGTGAAGTGGAAGCTTCTGGGGAAAGCCCCGGCTGCTGGGAACCGGGAGGTGGGGACGCAGGGCGGAGGGGAAAGGGGGGGAGTGAAGGACTCTGGGCAGCTCACGAGCTCGTCTCTGCCCCCAGCAGAAGTTTTTCCAATCAAAGCTCTGACCTCCCCTCCCCCACCATGTCTCTCTGATCTCCCCGGATCCACCTGGCTACAGGACACAGCAAAGATCGTGTTGGGGCTGGGATCTGCAGTGATCCCTGGGCCCTGCTCTGGGTTGCGGCTTTTGAAGGCAGCCTCTGTGCTGCCCAGCTGGCCTGCCTGGCACTGGCTGTATTTACACATCTCAGCCGGTTCCTTTGAGACTCTTGGGTATAAATGATCCGGGACTGGTGGTGTGAGCGTGTCTGATTTTAGCAGCTGCTGCCTCACCTCCTCCTTTGTTAGAGCTGGGAAATTTTCTGGTCCATCCACAGCATCATCAAGGACGGACACAGCCTCCTGCCTCACTCCAAACACAGACAGGAATAGCTACGGGACATTTCTGCCTTTCCTGCTTCACTAGTTACAGTTTCACCATCTGCATCCAGCCCTGGACCTGGACCCGGTTCCAACCTAGGGCTATGTTTGTTCCTGACGTGTTTCTAAGCTGTCTTCTTATTGTCCTTCAAATTATTGGCCATTGGATCCTTTAGTTTCCCTTATCAGTTGCCTACGTGTTTACTTGTAACTTATGTTCTTTGCCATTTACTTCCTGTTTCCCATCCTCTGTACTGACTGGGCTTTGATCTCCATCCAGCTCAGTGTTTGCATGTTCCAGCCATTCACGCTGTGTTCTTAAAAAGCCTTTTTAACCCAAAGCCTGGACCCCGCTGGTGGCTGTCTGTGTGTGGACTCCTGTGCCCCTGCAGGACTCAATGGGGCTCCCTCCACTCACGGTCTGCTTGTGCAGATCCAGTCTCAGGGTCGTGGTTGTGTTTGGAGAGCAACGTGCTCCCACCGGCTCAGATGTCGCAGTGGTTAGGGGCCCTCCCTGGTAAAAATGTGACCCGGGTTTCTAGTCTGAGGTCATCTCACGTCAGCTCCCAGACGCTGGCTCTTGTTCTGCTTTGTCTGGGAGACTGACGAGCCCCCTGCTCCCAGAAATTGGCTCCCCGGGTGGGTCCTTACAGACCGGGATCAGGTCACCCCTGAGCCTTGCACAGAACAGGCTCCTTCCATCGCTCACTCACAGGCAGCTTCTCCAGACCTTGAGGCACCTTTGCGGCTCCCCTCTGAACCCCGCTAACGTTTCAGCCTCCTTTCCGCAGGGCCGACGCCAGGGCTGGACACAGCAGCCAGTGCCGATCTCACCAGGGCCGTGTCCAGAGGAGACACCATCTCCCGGTGCCTGCCCGATATTCCCCTGTTCCTACAGCCCTGGGTCACACCTGCCCCCTAAGCCACAGCATGGCACTGGGAGCTCACACTCAGTTGGGTTCTGCCTTGACCCCCCATGTCCAGTTCAAAGTCTCTACGTCCCAGGGTACAGCCCACCTGACCCCCATCATGTGGGACCCACATCCTCGGTTCCTCCCTGTCCAGCCTGGCACCCGGCTGTGCGAAAACACGTGTGAATGGGCCCAGCTCCCCACGTGACCCAGCTCGCTGTGTGTAACTGGCCTGTCCCGTCATTACCCCCCACTCCCCAGTCTCGGTGTCCCCACAGACGCACCCCATGGCGGGTTTACATCGTGTCTCGGCTCACCGAGCTATTGACTCGCCCTGGCTCCAGGGCCAGGTCCTGCCAGACCCCACTGGAAACAGCCCCCCCCCCCAGCCATATGCCCAGCCCCCCAGGGCCTCCCCAGCCGGCAGGAGCCCAGGGCCTGCGTCTGGAGCTGCCTGAAGGGACCTGGGAACATTCCCACCAGGGACAGCTGTACGGCCGCAGCCAATGGGAACGCGCAGGAGGCTGGTCCAATGCTCCAGCGGCCAATGGGAAAGCTTGGTGGGTTGGTGGCATTATTGGGAGCCAGGGGGTCTCCCGGCATGTGCCCGGGAAGGGGTGCGAGGAAGCTGGGCTGGGTCTCGCTGTCATGTTCGGGGGGGGATCTGCCCTTCGCGTCACCGTGACCCCAGCCTGGGGGACGTCACCGCAGCACCCGGACAGGCCAGCATCTCTCTGCAGCCGCTTGCCCTGCGGGGTTCGGTCCCGGGGGAGCCTGGCCCATGAGCCCTGCCCTGCCCCAGGGATCCTGACCATAGGATGATCTCAAAGTGCTCCATGGACCATCCCTCAGCCCCAGAGCCCCCACCACCGCCCCAGGAGGAGACCAGCCACATGTCACACAAGGGGAAACTGAGGCACAGAAAGCCTCACAGTTTGCAGCAAGTCAGTGTCACAGTGTCAGCAACAGGAATAGAACCCAGGAGTCCTGGCTCCCATCCCCCCTGCTCTAACCCACTGGACCCCACTCCCCTCCCAGAGCTCGGATAGAACCCAGAAGTCCTGGCCCCTTCCTTAACCCTCATACCAAACTCCCTTAACTCCCGGTATAACCCGGGGCCCCTGGACAGACTCTAGCTGGGCTGGGCTAACACAGGCTGCCGTGGGCACGGCCCAGACCGACCGGATTTAAAATCATGATAAAAAGCTCAGAAACGTCCCCAAAATCCACTTTATTGCTGTTAGCAAAGCTAGATCGAGGGCAGCCGGGCTGTGGACACACACGGGGCACAGGGAGAAGGGGGGCTATACAGGGACTGGGCCCTTCCCACACAGACCCAGCAGGGATGGACCCCGGGGGAGTCACACATGGGTGCCATGGGGCCTTTAGCCAGGGGCTAGCGCTGGGACAGTCATGGGCCCGATCCTGCCCCATGGGGACCCCATTGACCGGGAATGGCCAAATCTGGCCCAAAGCCTTCTGGGTAATGGCTGGAGGGGCTTTACCTGGGGTGACTGACAGCAGCCTCTAGCCAATAGGGGCCGGGCTCGGGGCCCAATCCAGCACCCACTGGAGTCAAGAGAAACCTTCCCCACGATGGCAATGGGGTTTGGATCAGCCCCGTGGGCCCTGCTGCCCCCTGACGAGGGGCCACCCCCATTCCCAGCCCCATGGGGCAGCAGCCCTCTCCCTGGATAGGTGCCCCCCTCCCAAGCCCAGCAGGGGTGCAGGGCCCGCCTGAGGGGCCGGCTCCCCAGGGAGTCTCTAGCGGCTTGGCTCGGCGCGGTTACGGGGTCGGGGGGCCCCGCCTGGGTACAGCAGCTGGCACCAATGGGCACGGAGCAGGGGTGCTGGGGGCAGAGCTGGAGGGGGTGGGGGCCGTGAGCGGGTCTCAGGAAGGCATCTGGGAAGGATTCAGGGGCCCTGGCTTCTCCCTGCGTTTATCTGAAAGGCAAAGAGGGTCGGTTACCAGGAGCCCTGGGCCCTGACGCGAGGCTGGCAGGGATCAGGGCCATTCCCCAGCACCTGCAGGGACTCTCTCATTGACACGGGGGGGCTGGGTGGGTTCAGGAGCTGTGGCTGGCTGGGGGCGCACAATGGGGGGGGGATCTCCCCAGTAGCTGCTGGGTGGGGGAGGGGCTGTGGCTGAATGGGGGAAGCACAGTGGGTGGGGGTCTGCCCAGGGGGTGCTGGATGGGCAATGGGGCTGTGGCTGGATGGGGGAAGCACAGCGGGGGGGCGGGTCTCCCCAGGGGGCCCTGTGTGGGCCCAGGGGCTGCAGGTGCAGCGGGTGCCCTCCCCAGGCAGCAGCTACTCACAAGGGGCCCCGCGGGTTGCGGGCGGCGTTCATCTTCATGCCCTTGATGATGAGGATGGTGCCCGCGATGATGCCGATGATGCCCACGGCCAGGCCCAGGGCGCACACCAGGGTCTCGGTGGTCTCGGGGACGGGGGTGGGCATCTGGGCTTCTGGAGAGAGGGGGAGAGGGACAGGGCACGGAGTGAGGGGGGCTGTTCCCACCCCTCCCTCCCAGGGCTGGGATAGAACCCAGGAGTCCTGGCTCCAAGCCCCCCCTGCTCTGACCCATTAGCCCCCACTCCCCTCCCAGAGCCAGGATAGAACCCAGGTGTCCTGGCTCCCAGCCCTGTGCCCAGTGGGGTCCCCGGGCACCCCGGCCTCACCCCAGTGCTTCGTGAAGGGCTCGGGCAGCCCCCAGTGCTCCACCCGGCAGTCGTAGAAGTCGCCCTGGCTGGGGAGGAAGGGCAGGTAGGAGAACTTGCGGAAGGAGTCACCCTGGCGAGGGTAGAAGTCGGTCTCGTAGACGCCCCCCGTCACCTCCTGCCCGTTCTTCAGCCACGTCATGCTGAGCGCGGGCGGGAAGAACTTGTCCGCGAAGCAGATCAGGACGTTGGGCTCCCCCAGCTCCACGGGGTCTTCAGGGAACACGGTCACCTCAGGGGGCACTGGGGAGACAGGGGTTAGTTGGTCCCATCCCCTGCCCCCCTGAGCCAGCCAGTCCCTGGTGATCATGCTCCAGCTCAGGGGTCTCTCCCCAGGACTGTGGGGGCGTCACCGGGGCTGTCCCAGCTCCCTGCCCTGACGACTGATGGGGCAGAAGGGGCAGGGGGGAGAATCCCCCAGGGGCAGGGGCAGGTGCTGGGGAGGGGCAACGAACAGCCCTCAGCAAAGGAGCTGCCCTGGGCCACCAGCCTGGAGGGTGCGAACTGCCCGGGCCCCAGCTGCGTGGCTGCTCGCAGCCCTCGCCAGAGGCTGGGAGGGGATCTAAGCGAGGCCCCTCAGTCTTTAGGGTGTCTGGTACTGGGCCCGTGCGTGGCGGGGAAGGTCCACGGGTGAGCAAGGTGTGGGATGGCCCCAGGAAGGGGACGGGGAAGGTGCCCCCCCGCCGTGCCGTACCGTTCTGGGCCCGCGAATGGTTGGACCTCTTGATCAGGATCTCCAGGTTGTTCTTCAGCACGGCGATGTTGCCCAGGGCGCCCTGCGCCTCGAAGCTGGTGAACTTGCTGAAGTCGGGCAGGCGCCAGACGGTCTCCTTCCTCTCCAGGTCCACGTGGAACATCTCGTCCTGGTCGAACTCCTGCATGTACTCGCCAGACTCCTGCTGGGCCAGGTCCGTCCGCTGGTAGAAATTCACCTGGGAGCTCATGTGCTCCACTGTGGGGAGAGGGGCATCAGCAGCAGCCCCCCCACGGGGCATGGTCTCTGGAGGACTTCCCCTACAGCCACAGCCCCCAGCATTCATCCTAGGACTCCCCGCTGCGAGGGGAAAGCAGCGGCAGGGAGCGCAGGGACCCCTGACATCACGCTGGGGCATTGGGGTCAGCGCTGTCTGCGAGGGGACAGGCCCCCGCTGTGCCCCCCCCCACCACTCATTTGTTCTAACAGGTCTCCCATCCAAGTGCATCCGATGCAGTGAGCTGTAGCTCAGGAAAGCTTACACTCAAATAAATCGGTTAGTCTCTAAGGTGCCACGAGTCCTCCTTTCCATCCAAGTAGTGTCCAGGCCGACACCCACTTAGCTTAGGAAGGGGGACGTGACCCCATTGCAGAGTGGGGGGTGTCTGGAGTGGGGGTGGGAAGGTTACACATTGTGACTGCAGGACATTTCATTCTCCCGTCTGTGCCGAGGGCTCGTTCCGGGTCCTCGCATCACCACAACCTGGTTCTCGGGACGATTTCAATCCCTGGCCCCCGACACTCACACCCCGGGGATAGTCACTGGGAGACCCGGGAACCCCCCAGCCAGAGACATTAAAGCTGCGCTGGGGGGTCAGACACACGCCGGGAGGGGGAGGGGTCTGGCTCAGGCCTGAGGTTGGGATTGCCCAGGGCCCAAGGGAGTTGGGCACCTACATCCTAGGGAGTCGTTCGCTGATCCCAGCTCGCCCAGCAGGATCTCACAGAGCGACTGCAAAGGAGGGGACCTGCCACCACTAGTCAAGGAGAGAGTCTGCCCCACAGAGCGCCCCCCCGCCGTGGGTCTGAGCCCTGGGGGGACGGGGGACAATGGGGCCAGGCCGGGGAGTGGAGACAGGGGCTCCCTGCTCTGCACAGACACACTCACTGCTCGGCAGGGTCTGGCCCTGGCGCAGCTCTTTGGGGAACGTTCCCCCATCCCTCCTGGGGGGATCAGCCCCGAATCCCTGTGGGGGAGGGGGCTGCACCCCTAGGGCAGGGCTGTGTTGTACCCAAACCACAGCGGCTTCCCCACGATCCCTCTGCTGCCCCCACGCCAGCCTCCCCTCCCCTCCCCCGATGCCATTGTGGGGGGGGGGGGGGAGACCCTCCACTCCATGCAGCATGCGCCCTGCCCAGATCAGCCCCCGACCCCTCCCTCAACACTGTGGGGTAAGAGTCTTCCTCCCTGCAGCCCCCCTATCTGGCTCCTCCCCATACCCCTCCCTGCCCCGTCAGCCCCCATTGTCCCCCCAAGGGTGGGGGAGCCGGGCACTATGGGGGGTCAAGCTGCCCCCCCCCAGGCCCAGGCGTCACAGCCCCCGCCCCGCCCGTACCTCTCACTGCCCCGGCGCCCGGCAGGGCCAGCAGGGTGAGCAGGGCCAGCTGGGCCATGGGGACGCCCCGTCCTGCACCCATCTCCTCTCCCCGGACACTGGGCTGGGCGTGGGGCCGGCAGTGCTAGGGGGCTGGAGGGCATGTGTCACACTCTGGGGGGAGGCAGGGCTGGGGGGCAGCGCCCGGCATTGGCCAGGGGAGCCTGGCCCAGTGGCCCGCACCCAATGGCAGAAATCCCTGCGCCGACCAGGCTGTTACCGGGCAGAGCAGCAGGGCTGAGCCTCGCGGAGAGGAGATGGAGAAGTTGCAGGCAAATCAGGCAAATTAAAAGAACCTCACAGCAGCTGGTATTTTTACATAACTTCAGGATTTCTGAACACTCGGGGTTGGCAATACTGCAAATTCCCACCCAGCCACCTGGGGCCGCGGGCTGAGTCTGCATGGCAGGGCCCAGCGTGGTGTGGCTCTGCCAGCAGCCCAGTGTGGACGCAGCGCAGCCAGGAGGGGTTTATCCCCAGTGTGGACGCAGCGCAGCCAGGAGGGGTTTATCCCCAGTGTGGACGCAGCGCAGCCAGGAGGGGTTTATCCCCAGTGTGGGGACAGCACCTCCCCGCACGGCCCTCGCCCGGTCCACACATGCCCTGCTCTGCAGAGCGACTGTGTGCACACGGGGGGCTTGGCGACACAGCGGTGTACTGGGGTGTGGGGTCACACCTCTGACCCCCGGAGCTCTGTGTGTGTCCCGGGGGTGGTGTCACACCTAACTGCAGAGCTCTGCTGGGATAAGCGTTAAGTGTAGACCAGGCCACAGGCAGGGTTCGGGGAGACCATCCGTGGGAGACCGGGACGCCCGGCCATTCCCCTCTGGGGCACTGGTTCCCACCTGGCCTCAGGGTGGGATCCTGGCTGGCTCGGGGCGGGAATGGGACACAGGCCCTTTCCCTCGGGTGGATCTGCTGTTAGTGACCAAACTTCCTTCCCCCCGGAGTCTGTCCTGGGCCCCGTGTGTGGCACGCTGGTCCCTGTCCCCTGCCCAAACCCACTGCCTCCTGTCCCCATTGGCACCAACTTGTCCCCCCCACCCCCACAGCTAACGCGGGGTGTTCACACTGCCCCTGGCAGGAGGGGCCGAGAGGGGCTGGCCTGGGACCCAGGAGCCCTGGGGTCATTCCCAGCCCTGCCACAGACTGTGTGTAACCCTGGGCCAGTCACTGACTTCTCTGGGCCTCCCTCCCCAGCTGGGCATTGGGGACAATGGCCCTGCCCCACGGGGGGGGGGATGCGCGCAGCAGAGAGGGGGAGGGGATCAGAGACAGGGCGGCCAGAGAAGCCCCTTCGGGAGATCGATGGTGGGAGCAGCTGGGAGGCCGAGCTGTGCCTGACCCATGGAGACTGAGCCCCCTGCTCTGGTGGGGTGCCTGGGGGGCAGAGCTCAGGCCCGTGGAGGTGGGGGAAGCTCAGAACTTCTGCCTGTGGGGCCAGCCCCGAACCTTCCACTGGGCCTAAATTTATCCACAACCAGAGACCCCCCCAACAGACCCGGCCTGCCCCAGCCAGCAGCAGAGGGTCGAGGCACCAGGGGAAGGGGACGGAGGGTCCCAGGCTTGTTGCTGGGGGCCCTGCTCTGGCGGGGGCTGGTCCCTGGGCTGGCCCCGCTCTCCAGCTGCCCCGGGGCCATGGCAGGCGCCGGGCGAGTCCTGCAGCCCAACCCCAGGCCCTGCTCTGCCCCCTACGAGGGAGAAGTATGGAACCGAGACCTGCTGGGGCCGGCTCTGCCTGGCAACGGATGATGCTGCCCAGCCCCGATGCTGACTGGCCCTGGGCTGGGGGTGCCCAATCCCCGGGGCTGTGGGCAGCGTCCCGGGTCTGGTGCTTGGAGCTGGACAGAGAAGGTCTCAGTCTGCGGGGTCCCGACGACTTTCCAGATCTCTCCCTCCTGAGCCGCGATGGGGGTGGGTCGGATCCTGGGGGCTGGGAGCTGCTGGGCTGGGGCTCTGCTCGTGACACTGACGGTGCTGAGAACCCACCTGGCTCGTTGCACGGAGCCCCCAGGTGAGCAGAGACCCCAGTGCCCCTGGGAGCCCCGTCCTGGGCAGGTGCTGGGTGTTTCCGGTGGGGGGGGAATTGGACGCCAGTGCCCTGGGGAGCCCCGTCCTGGGCAGGTGCTGGGTGTATCTGGGGGTGGGGGGGTGTCAGAGCCCAGCGCCCCGGGGAGCCCCGTCCTGGGCAGGTGCTGGGTGTTTCCGGGGGGGGAATTGGACGCCAGTGCCCTGGGGAGCCCTGTCCTGGGCAGGTGCTGGGTGTATCTGGGGGTGGGGGGGTGTCAGAGCCCAGCGCCCCGGGGAGCCCTGTCCTGGGCAGGCGCTGGGTGTATCTGGGGGGGTCAGACCCGACATGCCTTGGGGTCCCCTGTCCTGGTGTCCTGTCTGCTCAGTGTCTCCCCCGTTCTCTGTGTCCCCTCCCGGAGGTGCTGGGACGAGGGGGCTGCCGCACCCCCCGGATTGAAGCGGTTTCCCTCCCACACGGGGGTCACGGTTCGGGTCAAGGGCTCTCAGCAACCCCTCCCCCCCCGTACACATGGGCCCAGCGCCCCCCCGCTCGGTGTTACCGTCACTGCCCCCCCCCGTCCGTGCCCGCCTGCGTCCGGGGCTGGGGGGGCGGCTACGGGCTCGTGGGCGCTCCCGGAGGATTTGGGCCCCCCCGGGGGCAGCAGGGGGCGGGGCGGGGTGCCCGAGCCGAGCCGAGCCGAGCCGAGCCCGTCCCCCCCAGGGCGGTACGTGTACCAGGTGAACTCGGAGTGTCTGTTCACCAACGGCACCGAGCGGGTCCGGTTCCTGGACCGGTACCTCTACAACGGGCGGCAGATCCTGCACTTCGACAGCGAGCTGGGGGTGTTCGTGGCGGACACGGAGCTGGGCCGGCCCGACGCCGAGTATTGGAACAAGGACCCGGCGTTCCTGGCGGAGCGGCGGGCGGCGGTGGACACGTTCTGCCGGCACAACTACGTGGTGCACACGCCTTTCACCGTGGCCCGGAGAGGTGAGCGCGCGGGGGGGGGGTCCTCCGCTCTGCCCCCCCCCCCCCAGTTATCTCCATGCTCCGGCTCTTGGCCGGGGGGGGGCTGAGCTGCTCCTGCGCCGGGGGGGGGCAGGGGGCGGGGTCACGGGCAGGGGGCGGGGCCCAGGGAGCGGGGGGGGCGGCGGGGGCCGGGGTCACCCAGCGGCAGGAGCAGGCGGGAACCCGGCGCTGGGGCGGGGACGTCTCCGCCCTTCGCCTTCCCCCCCCCGCCCGTCCCGGCCCCCCCCGGGTCTGGCTGCGGCACCCCCTCTCTGCAGGCCGCAGAGCCCCAGGCTCGGGTCAGTCTCGGGGGACTGACCCTCTCCCCCTCCCAGCCCCCCCCGCCCCTCTGGGGGTTCAGCCCCCAGCACCCCCCACTCAGACCCCCCTCGGGGCAGGCGGCTGCTGCGGCTCCTACCCCCCTCCCTGGGGTGGGCGGGGCTGGATGATGGGGCAGAACTTGCCCCTCCCCCCAACTCTGCCCCTCCCCCCTTGGGGTGCCCCTGGCACGAGGGTGGGGGTAGCCCCTGGTCCCTGGGCCAGACCCCGTTTCCCTGGGCCCCGAGGGTCAGACCATCCCTGGCTCTGTCCCCATGGGGGTGACAGGATGCAACTCACCTCGGGCCCTTTCTGCTGATCCCGGAGCTGGGGCCTTTCCCTGGGGGACGGGGGGGTCACCCTGCTCTGTCTCCAGCCCCTATCCCAGCCCCTCCCCCAACCCCTCCCCTTCTCTCCCCCCAGTTCAGCCCAAGGTGAAAGTTTCCCCCACAACATCGGGGTCTGGGTCCCACTCCCACCTGCTGGTTTGCTCCGTGACGGGGTTTTACCCCGGGGGGATCGAGATCAAGTGGCTGAAGAACGGGCAGGAGCAGACGGCCGGGGTGGTGTCCACGGAGCTGCTCCAGAACGGAGACTGGACCTTCCAGATCCTGGTGATGCTGGAGATGAGCCCCCGGCGCGGGGACGTCTACACCTGCCAGGTGGAGCACATCAGCCTGCGGGACCCCCTCAGCGTGCACTGGGGTAAGAGCCTCTGGGTGTGGGGCAACCCCTGAGCCCGCAGGGGCAGCCCTCGCTCTGTGGAGCCCCCAGGGGATGGGCCTGGGGCAGAGCGCTCACACGAGCCCTGCTAACCCAAATCTATCAACCTGGGCTGGGAGCTCACTTCCACGGGCTCCAAAACGCTGTGTAGACACAACCTGAGTGGGGCAGCGTTAGGGTTTCCTCCCCACTCTGAACTCTGGGGTACAGATGTGGGGACCAGCATGAAAGACTCCCTAAGCTTATATTCCACCAGCTTAGGTTAAAACTTCCCCAAGACACAAATTCCTTCCCTTGGCGTTGGACGGTATCGCTGCCTCCACCAAGTGAGTTAGACAAAGATTCAGGAAAAGGACCACTTGGAGTTCCTATTTCCCCCAAATCTCCCCCCAAGCCCCTTCACCCCCTTTCCTGGGGAAGCTTGAGAATAATCTACCAACCAGTTGTCTTTAATAAAAGTACAGACCAGACCCTTTATGGTTAGGACACTAAAATTAATTAAGTTTTTAAAAGAAGAACTTTATTATAAAGAAAAAAGTAAAAGAAGCACCTCTGTAAAATCAGGATGGAAGGTAATTTTACAGGGTAATAAAAAGATTTAAAACACAGAGGATTCCTCTTTAGGCTTAACTTTACAAAAACAGGAATAAACCTCCCTCTTAGCATAGGGAACATTTACAAGCTAAAACAAAAGATAATTTAACACATTTTCTTGCTATTACTTACAATTTTTGTAATTTTAGATGTATCATTTTAGTAGGAGCTGGGTTACCTGCTTGGTTTTTTTCTTTGTCCTGAGAGGGAACTAAACAAAGAGCACAAACAAAACCTGCCCCGCCCCCCATTTGAAAGTATTTTCTTTCCCCATTGGTCCTTCTGGTCAGGTGCTCTTAGCACAGGGTCAGACATGAGTGTCACCTTAAGGTGGTTAAAGGCCTTCTGACACTCTTCAGTTCCCTGAACGGCATTTGGCTGGGTTTTTTTGGTCAGCTCTGTTAGTGGGGCAGCGATTTGGCTGTATTGCGGTACAAATCGCCTGT